GTGACTCCCCCATGAATCAATTCAATCGCTGCGAGTTTATACTCGTACTGGTTCTGTTAAAATGTTCCATGAGAGGTAGTTGAGATGACATATCCCGGATATATCCCCATTCAGCCTGTATCTTGAGACAAATTGAAACCACTCAATTTAAGTGGGGTATCCCCAATAGCTGGATGGTTTTTAAAATGGAACATCCTATTACAGTAAAATGGATGATCTCTGGGGTACCGTGGGGAAACTTCCAGTCTCCCAGGCAGAAGTCGAGGAGTCCTCCGCGAATCAAGGCGTGCTCCACAGCCACAGGTGATTCTGAGTTGTTTTGGCTCAAGCATCCCTGATTCCGGACTGATACCACCTGACTGGGCTGTAGATTCATGAAGGAACCATTTTGCTAGCCTGAGGTTACAACCTGTTACAACTATCAAGGGACACAGACATGCCAACAAATTCTGAAAGCGAATTGACATAGGCCAGAGTTTTTATCGCTCGATGGGCATTCCACGACATTACAAGCACCATTGGAATCCACCATTCGTTCCGCTAAGTCTACATGGTCCGGAATCCCAGCAGAGATGTGGTTTGAGAATTTTAGCCAAAGCCAAAGATCCACTGGTTAATTTCATCGTGAAATTCCCTTTGAAATGGATATATGATGATTATGATGATATATGTTCGGGGCATACTCCATTTTCAGACACACCTAGACAAGATATCAAATGCATGAACGATGCCTTAAAATGACAATGCAAACTGAAACATGCCGGGAGTCTGGATTATGTTGGAATCGGGGACGGAGGATTTTTATTTCATGAAGCCGGCATAAGTTTTGTTTTTGTTTTTTCCGCGAAGGGCTAACACGGTGGGGTTTGTCCAAAAGTTGAGTTTTTCCCCCAAATCGCCTGGTTTATTATATTTTTTCCCATTTTCACTGGCCATTAGGGGGTACACCCCATTGTCAGACACGCCCATTGAGAGTTCGAACCAGTCAGCAGTCGTTGTAAAAGGGTTTGCTGTGGGCCATGACTGAAGATGATCAACCTTGCAAGCGCTCCTGCACTTTCAAAGAGCTAACAGGGTATAGTATCGTTGCAGTCTTCGGCACACTCTATCCTTTACCAAAGAGAATCTCAACAAAAACAGAAAACATTTCCATCAGAATCCACTGCACATCTCTCAAGGAGCTGCTTGGCTCAAACTGATTCGGGGGATTCCCAGAATTCGCCTGTCGCAGCACTTCCATGGGTTGCGGAGCCAGTACACAGCAAGGGGTTTCTGCCACCACTGAGCCGTGCGCTGGCGCAGGCAAGTCCCAGGTGCGGGGAGACGGTTTTTCGATCGTTTTTCCATGGGTTTCAGAGGGGTTTATAAAATTTTATAAACCCAAATGCCATAGACCTAGCATGACTTGCGGATATGACTTGGGGATGACTTGGGATATACCTAATCAAATGTTTATACCCTGGTGATGACTTGGGGACTATGGCATTGGGTGAATCCCACGTCGATTGGCTCCACCGGAGGGGGTGATTCAGGGACCAGGGACCAGGAGATCGAAATACTTGCGATGAAGTGAAACAAAGAACCGACTTGGATTGATTAGACCAGAGAATGTTGGCTAAGACAAAGCAATATTAATAATATTATGGGATGATATGATAAGATTGGAGAAGATAAAGTGATTTAAGACCGGCGTTGGATGGGATCATAGCAGGTAGAGATAGACTGCCAGATATACTTTGGGGTTTCCCTTCAGCCGAGTTGATGGCAACTGTTGCTGAAGCCAGGTCGCTCAGGAACATGATGACTGGGGTTTGCCTAGCTACCAATGTGGAAAGGAAGACCAGGCTCGACGAGCTTTCGAACGCAGGCGAGAGCAAAACGTCTTGATGATGATTGCGCACCAGAAGGAGATGAAGACACTCCAAAGGCCTGGACATGCCTGGACCCCCGGAATTCTCAAAGGAGAAGCGTAATGTTGCGTAGTTGTTCAAGATTCGGAGATAGTCGACGAGATATGACTTACTGGTGTAAATAGGCGATGTATGTTGAAGTTGTTTGCTGAACGTTTCATGAAGGCACCTGAAGCCGAAACATCCTTTGTATACAAAGTCTACTCCAGTGTTGAAATACCACAGTCAGAGGTTGCTGTGTCTTGGTTCTCAGACCATCCGGTAACAGAGATTGTGTACATGGGTTTGTCAAAGTTATGGCCATTCTAGACGATTTTAAACTACGTTTCATGAATAATATAGAGATTTGTACTGTTACCCATATAAGGACTCCCATTATGGGATGGATGACCATAGCCCATATACCAGAATATACAATTTTTTGACCATGGCACATATAGGGACAATACGGAAAAATGATGAGTAACCACGCACTTTCAATAGGTTTTTTATTCGATTGCAATTATCATCATTTTCAGACAACCCCAACTTGGGCGCAATGGAGGACATCAAGGCCGGACAATCCTGTTGTCTGTGTATGGTTTACTAAACTGGGTATCCCCAAACTGATGACGATTTACTATAAAAGAATGACCAACACCTGTGGTTCCTAAGGGTCTTACTTAAATTGCAACTATATAGTTGCTTTGAAAGTTCGCAGCATGGGTCTCAATCCTATTAATGAGGGATGATGATCTCTATTCGCATATATTTGGTATGTGGGTATGGGTCAATACCTATAGATACATTTTTAGTGGAATGAACATCCATTTACCAGCTATTTTGGGGTTCACTAGGTACCAGGGTTTTGACCCATCCCCATGTGTTGAAACCACCAGAAATGATCCCAGCAAGTCTTTCACTGGGTGCACTGGGTTTTAAACGATTTCTGGACCTTGTTTTGGTTGGTTGAAGTGATACTTGGAACATAATCCGACCAAACAGATATATAATGATATATATATATATATTATACATATATATATGTATACATACATTATATATATATATATAGTTTTTTTTTTTTTTAAATACAGTACACACATATATATATATACATATATATATATATATACATAATTATATACTGTCTGCATACACTGTCTATATTCTGATACATAGAGATCATAGAGTAGATACATACAGTATATATATATATGTATATATATATATGTATATATATATATATGTACAGTATCTCGCAAATGACCCTGCTTCATTAGTCCCTCAAATGCGCTTTTCCCAATAAGACAGGGTTAAAAACCCACTTACATCCTAAGCAGATCCGTCGCGTTGGATTGGTAGTTGCGGCTGATCACATCCCCCCTTCCCCTCGAGGTCAACAAGCACCTTGGCCACCTAACGCCTTGAACGTCGATTCTGAACCCAGCCAGTACCATTTTTCTGTTCACGTCCAGTTTTCGCAAAGCGTGGTGGCTGCATTGAGACAGCTGAGTTTTTGAATTTCTAGAGCACAATGGGATGGGATGACGAATCCAATTATCGACTTTCATATTTTTTAGGATGGGTTTGAAACCACCAATGATTGTCTGGTCGGATCAACTTCAGAATTTTTGGCGAAGAGGTGGGACTTAAGGTCTAGCTGTCCTGCATCCGATGACTGTCGCTATTTAGTGACACGTGCGAGCCAAAGGCTGTCCTTACTGTGTGAGTCTCTTTGGCCGGATGACTTACGGGGCAAGTTGCAATGCACTGCCCGTCTTTGCCACTGGTCATCCCAGCCGGAATGCTCCCGGCTCGTTCAGATGCACAGAGGTCTGTGCCGCTAGCGTGTGACAAGCTGCACACAGAAGTACTGTAAATTTCCGAGCCATAGATTATTAGTAAACTATCATTCAACACATTTCCCAGTTAAATGTTATATATAAATATATATATATATCCATATATACATATGGTTCGATTCCAATATTATAGAAATGGTTAGATTCTTAGATTTCCCTCATGACCTGAGGTGTGCAGCTCCGCTAGCTTCGCACAGGCGATTTCCTCTTGGAAAGTCTGACATCTTGCATCCAGTATTTCAAAAAGGGCTACATTTCTTCAGAAAGTTCGTAGCACAAGTATTTCAAGAAGTATTTCAAGTGTTCGGATTCCAGGGTATTGCTTGATCACCCCAAAAGCTTCAGCTGTTGTCCCGTTCGTTTTTATGTCCCCAATCCCACCTGCGGAACGGGGGAAAGTACGGGCGACCTGAACAGACAGAGATCAACTTGGGCATAGAAATCATAAGATGGGGCGTATTGAGAAAGCACATGTGATCAAGCAATTTCTGTGAGCTCTTGGCTTGCAGTTGTGGAACAGTTGATACAGTTTACCGATTTTGACATGGGCTTGTACAAAATGCTGCAACTTAGCGCTGCCAGACCCCAACGCTTCGTTGATGTCGAAAATTGCAGATTGGTTGATGTTTCTGAGGCCATTGCCTGCCCTGAATTGGTTGCTTCAATCAGATCAGAACTATGCCTTTAATGTATACATTGTATTACATTGTATGGTTACAGGCTCTTTAGGGGGAACCAATTGCAATGCAGCTAAGCTCATCTCCATATCCTTGTTTCTTAGGATGACTTTGCACTAACAATGTCTCATGTTGAAATCACCTTACTTCAAGACACTCAATTTTTGCGGTTCCCAAAGGAGCGTGAAACCTATTTGATATCAGGCAAGCAATACTGAGCTTGGGACATGTCCCATGACTTGGGAATTCACCTGAATTCAGATTCCGTGATTTGCCCCGAGGTCAGAGCTCTTCTGTGATGGCTAGAAGAAAACTTCAACGTTTCACCATGTTTCACCGTTTCACTTTTGGAAAGGCTCTGTTTCGCTCATGTGGCTTAGTCTATGCGTCCCTCTTTGCCGCTACGTGATTCTCGTGGCAGCTGTGATTCATTGTGATTCTTGTGATTCTGTGTTTTTTCGTTTTGAATTGGGATTCAAATGGATTTTAGACTATTTTAGCACAATTTCACGATGTAGATTTCCACCTGATTTCAGCAGCGCATCATGCCGTGTTTTGGGCCAGGCCTCATGGAAATCCTCAGGGACGAACGTGGCCTGGATGTTTTTTTTGGCACCAGAAATGGCAATAGGGGATGGTTTCTGATTGGGTTTACCACATTATATAGTGGTTGTAATGGGATAATAGCGAAGAAGCATCTTATTTGAATAATTATTCAATATTTGTTTATGTGATTGTGATGATGGGATAACTCTCATAATGATGATGATGATGATGATGATGACGACGACGACGATGACGATGATGACGATGACGATGACGATGATGATGATGATGATGATGATGACGATGACGATGACGATGATCATGATGATGATGACGATGATGACGATGATGACGATGACGATGACGATGACGACGATGATGATGATGATGATGATGCTGATGCTTCTAAATAATGTTTTTAAATACACTAGTGATTACAATGTTGTGATAATAAATGATCATAAGAACTTGTCAGATGCAATATATGGACAATGATCAACTAGTAATATTACAGCCAGGACAGGGGTGCTGCCCGCGGAAGTGTGTTTTGATTGTGCAGTGCCAGCGTTTTATGCATTTTGGGATGTCGACGGATTGTCCAAATGGTGCCGAGATTTGTTTCCAAAACATAAAACCCTAAACCCTACATCCTAAACCCTAAAACCTAAATCCGCTATGACACCCTAAGTAAGCCTTGAAAGCAACATCTTATTAAAAATGTGGTAAAAACAAAAAACAAAACAAAACCCTAAATAATCCCTAAACAAAGCCTAAAGAGTTGGTCACATGATAAACCAGAAAGGGCGGCATATTAACCCCGGTTTTTTTATTGGGGGTAATATTAGATAATCCCATCCCCCCAATTGGACCAGATATTCCCAGACCTCCAATTTGTGGATCCAATACCTTCCACCAGGACATTTTTTGCTGGCAAAAAACTCAGCATATATATAGAGGCACTAATAGATGGAGATATAGATGGGGACATATCAACATAAAATGATAATGTATGATTTTTTGTGTCTTTGTCTCAAAATGAACATAATTTTTCCCCAATTTAATGGCCGTTAGTAAATGTTAGTAATGGGGAACATGAATGAATTGGATCCTTTTAGATGGACCGCAAATGGATAAAGTCCACTATTTGTCCATTGTTGGTTCAGCTGATGGTCATATAGACCCAATGTTCGGTTTTAAATCTCGATCCCCTGGAAAATAGCAAGCAAAAAGGAAACACATGACGTTATCATGAGATATCCCCATAAAATTCAGCATATTATAATGTTATTGATTACATTCTCATTATATATATACATATCCAAGATATTCCCATTGTGGTTGGTTTTATACCCAGAAAACGTGATGGTAGATTTTCATTTTCCCCAGTCACATTGACAGAAATTGGATATAAAACATAATGACACCAACCAATCATATATCCATAACTCTTTGGTTGAAACCCAATTTCTGACCGTGGCATCAAATGGCTTCAACAATTGTCCATTTCTCATCATTTCTCCATTTCATATCGACAATAACTGACTTTATGATGATTAGATATTTGAATTTTCCATTTTCATATGGTCAGTATTTGAAACCCATTAGATATTTGAATTTTCCATTTTTGAGGGTTTCAACTTCTACATAACCTCCAGCATTTTCAGCAAACTTGAAAGCCGCTTAAAGGGTTAGACATTTGACCATTGTTGGTTTGTAGCTCATTGTATCCCCAGGATGTCCCACGCAAATTGCCATTTTATCTCCGTTATATCCCCATCATATCTTCATCAAATCCGATAAAAATCCCATAAAATCCAATTAAACCCCAGATAATCCTCTAAGTTCCACTAAATCCCATGATAATCTTGTGATAATCCCATTGTATTCCCATGAAATCCCAATGTCATCCCATTCTAATCCCATGAAATCACCATTTGTTGATGGTTAAACCACCATTTTTTGGACGCCTGAGGCCGTCGAAGCTTTCAGGAGCTCCGTGTGCGGCGGGCGGCGCGGGTCACTCCGTCACATGCGGCGGCGGGGAAGGTGCTGAGACGCCCCTCGGCACGGGCGGTGATGGAATCAGTGAGTCCCCTGGTGGTTTGACAGTTCTACGGATGTATATGTATATATATATATATCTATATGGGTAAATTACAGTATAACGACCTCACTGTGACGGAAGCCTGGAATCATGAATTTATGGGGAATCATCCCCAGCCTGATGACAAGATGTGAGGCCTTATTTCAAGTTCAGGAACTAATTATAACCATCCCCAAGGTAGAAACGTGTTTCCAGGTGGTGATAGATGGTGTTTAATACATATTTCCAGTTTTCCCACTTTTCTATTTTTTTTGGGGGGGGTTGCTATATATATATAGGGATATAATATGGATAGAACTTGAATCTACTGGGAATCTAATGATGGTAATGAATGAGAGGGTTTCTTAAATCGTCTATACTTAGACTCCTGGAAGAATTATATATATGGGGTGCTTAAAATAGGAGATCCCCAAGTCACCATAGGTTTCAATACTAGGTCATGGTCTAATGACTCGGATGATTTGGGGGATCCCCAATTTTAGGACCCCCATATATATATATATATATCTATATGTATGTATGTATGTATGTATGTATGTATGTATGTATGTAATCATCCTGCAGTAGACAATATATATATATATTCATATTCGGGGGTTCAATATGGATAATTATATATATATATACTGTGGATATACTGCGAATATAATGGCAATATAATTAATGGGAAGATATGATCATGCTGCAGTCGATAGAATTTGGAATTTTCACAGATATTCCCAATTGTTGATGTTTTTTTTTCATTTCCATATTCGATCTACTCCAGGATGGCTGTATCATTTTATATATATATATATAAAATTACATGTACAAACTGTTTGTTGTCTATGTTACTTTTATTTTGAGTATTTATTGAATTATATCCATTATTTTCAAGGGGAACACACAACTATTTTCAGGGTTGCTATCGCCCATTGTAGGGGTAAATGATAGTCACCAAGGGGAAATGTGGTAGATTTACCTACCCCTTGCACCTGGGGTATTGGGAGCAATCATTATCCTTGATTTATATTGTATAAGATTATTTAAGCACCAACTACTCAATCTGAATATGGGGTTGATATGTGGTTGTTCTCAAAACCCCGGAGCCGTCTCCAAATTCTTGATTAGTTAAATGGGCTCTAGCCACAATTTATGGCGAGTTTCATTGGAAAAATAGCCACTTTTTAAGGCACTTGACCTGATGCTTTGGATGAAAAACAGTAACCACCAGGAAGGAAAAGCAAAACCCAAAATGTATACGTTTACGCTTGATTCTTGATTCTGTACCATTTGCCTAGAATCCTGGCAGAACACTTGGCAAAGCAAAGCGCAGCAGCAATCATTGCTTGACCATTGGGAGCTGATTTTGCGCGCAGGATTCTTAACATTTTCCGTATGAAACGTAGGGGATGGACATCAAAGTGACATGGGTTTTCAGATGAATCCTAGTACAAACACCCAGTATGGCTATTGTTGCCAGACTCGTATGGGTCTGGAAATGGGGTTGTCCACCGAAAACGCCTTTCTGCTCAGGTCATTGGGGTGGCCCATCCCTGGTACCTTGCTGCATGGAGGTCCCAAACCGAGCCTTTCCGTTCCAGATTTTCCAACCTTTCTCTAAAAATTCTACAACATATGCCCAGAAATTCACATGAGTATACATGTGCTATGTGTATAGTTGTGTATATACTGTGTATATGTTCAATGTATATACGTATATGGAGACATCTATGTACGTAGATGCACATGCACATTTACCTCTCTCTCTCTCTCTCCATACATCTACTTCTCTCTCCCTCTCTCTCTCTGCTCTAAAGATACAGCATGTACATATATATATATATATGATGTAATATATATATATATACATAGATATGATGTACTATATATATATATAGATATGATATGTATTTCATATATGATATGTATTTATATATATATAAATTATACATTATATATATTATTATATATGATATATATTATACATACTGTATATTTATATATATTGTATACATTACATATAGATTATATACATATTATACCTTATATATTGTATTATATATATTATATATATATTAAATTATATTATATATACATTATATAATATAGATAATATATGAATATTAAATGTATTATATTATATTTATTTTATATTTTACATATAATGCATATTTTACATATTACATATTACATATTATATATTATATATTACATATTAAATAGTATATATTATATTATATATTATATTATATATTATCTTATATATATTATCTTATATATTATTTATTATATATTGTAAAATCTATTCTATATTATCTATTATATATTATATATTATAGTTTATTATATTATATATATATATTCATATCATATATTTCATATTATATTTTTTTTAATTATATATTAGATATACTACATACTATTTATTATATATTAGATATATTATATTATATATATTTGAGATATTATGTATATATATATTATATTATACATTAGATATTTTATATTTTAGATATTAGATATATTATATATTATATATTAGAAATATTATATATTATATATTATATATATTATATATTAGATATACTATATAATCTATATTATATATTATTGATTATATCATACATATATATATATATGTATATCATATGGGGTACATGACTCATCATAGGACCGACACGACAATTATGCCTCAACGAGCTTCGCTTCGAGTAATTTTTTCAGGCCTCAGCAGCGCCGCCACGTGCGGCACGCCGATTACATACGAGGCTGACCCGGCTGACCCTGGGAAGTCTCCAATTCTGAGGTTATCGTTGTTATTTTTGTTGTATCCCAGTGACAACTGAATTCTAAGCGTTAAATCACAGTCCGGAAACTCGATTCACATCCACGTGGAACTTGAATAAAAACTGGGTCATGGGCCACATGGGTTGTATCTATGGCCATTCATCATCTGAAAAAATCGATGCTAGGCTGGCAGCTGAAGAGCCAAGGCCATCCAGCAAGGGGTGGTTGACGGGATAAAGTTTTCATGTGCAATATTTCAGAAAGGATTAGTCAGTACAGGTCATACCAGCAACCTGCTAGAGTTTATGCTGAGATGGATAGTTGTTTCACCAGTTCTTGTGCTTTTCCAGAGAAAGTGCATATATTTGCAATCAATCCACGGGTGATGGTGGGAGGTAAGATTCACAGTAGCTGGGTGACATATCCCTGGATATATTCTCTGTTACTGTAAACGGGGCAAAGCCTTTAAAGCTACCCAGTTGCGAGCACTCAATCCCATGATATTCAAGTTTTTGAATATTGTTTGCGCATTTTTGATGGTCAAGTCATGTAAGATCAAAATTATTGATGATTGAATCAAATCACACATTTTGGTTTTCATTTTCTGTTTTTTGCTGGTTAAATTGCCACGTTTGCTGGTTAAATCCCAATTTTTGTTGGCTCAATCACCATTTCTCTTGATGACATCACCATTTTCCCATGGTTTCCAGCATTTTCCTAGGTGAACAAAACATCTCCAGCCAGTTTCTTGCGCAACTCGCCAGGTTTCGCGCGTCTCGCCCGGTGCCATCGCCTGCATCACCTGCCAGTGCGGTGGTGCCTTGCATCAGAAATTATGGTAGGGATTGGGGTAACGAATGGAGTAACTAATGGGGATTGAATGGGGATTTCATGGACTTCAATGGGATTTCATGGTGATTTAATAGGGTAACTGCAGGAATACTGAGACATGATTAATAGTTAGGGTAGATGAATAATAGTTAGTTATAGTAGGTAGTGAATGGTAACATCACTAGTGGTATATCACGGACCTATAGAGATGTGTATATTGGTATGGATATATACGTATATATATATATATCTATACGTAGTGTATAGAGATATTGATCTTGCACATTAATGCGCGTTGTATTGACATGATATATATATATATAATATCATGTTATGTATATATATATATAAATACATTGATATGGGCATGTACTATTGAGTTACTATTACCATTTGACAGGTCAAAGGGTCGAAAATTGGGGTTGGTGCCATGGTGCCACATAAAATTGGGATGGTATTTCTGTCAATTCATATACATGTATAATGGGTCAAAATCAGGTATTGGGCATATATATCTATATGGTGTACTATTGCCAACAAGGGTATGGGCCGAAATTGGGTACATATGGTTTTGGGCTACATAGTATGTACTGCATGTACATAAGCATACACACACATATATATATATACATACATGTACAAATATGCGTATATATATATACATATATGTACAGGTAAACAAATACACATATATATATATGAGTACATATATGTACATATATAATACATATAATATTTATATATACACGTACATATGTATATATATATGTAATATACATATATATATATGTAATATACATATATATATATGTAATATACATATATATATGTAATATACATATATATATATATATGTAATATACATATATATATATGTATTTTACATACACACATATATATATATATCTATGTACGTATATATATATACATGCACATATACATATACATATATATATACATGTTCGTACACACATAGATATATATATATATATATATACATACATGCATACAAAGGTTTATCCATGCATATATGTATATACATACATATATATATATACATATATATATACATATATATACATATATATACATATACATACATACATACCATACCACACCATACCATTACATTACATTACATTACATTAATACATACATACATACATACATACATACATACATACATACATACATACATACATACATACATACATACATACATACATACATACATACATACATACATACATACATACATACATACATCATACATACATACATACATACATACATACATACATACATACATACATACATACATACATACATACATACATACATACATACATACATACATACATACTACATGTATATATATATACATGACTATATTACATATATATATATATATATGTATTACATACATACATACATACATACATACATACATACATACATACATACATACATACATACATACATACATACATACATACATACACTCATACACACATACACACATACACACATACATACATTTATTTATACACATATAAATATAAATAAATACATATTATATATATATATGTATATGTTTGCAAGTATGGGTCAAAATAGGCAAATTGGACACCCAAAATTGGATTGGGTTTGAATATTGCCATGATGATAGGCATAGGTGTTTTTATGTATATAGTGTGTTTTAACTGGTTGATTTATTTAGTATGTTTGATTGTTCTTATATTGCTGACTGGAATCTACCCCTAGAACATCGGATATGTGTAGAGGTTGGCTGGTCTCAGCATTCTCCTGAAAGATAGCAATCAAAGCATCTAGCAACGAAAGTTCTGACAGGGAAACCTCAAAAATAACTCTACTCCAGGCTGAGAAGCTTGGGAAAGAGTTGGTCGATCTTGAGCACTGACCAACCAAAAAAAGAGTGGCTGGATGTGGGTAACACTTGTCATTTCTTGGGTTGCATCGCATTCTTGGAAACGGCTTTCCGAACATGGATTTTTTGCTGGGCTTTGAACGCTGATAGGGATGGATCAACATCTCTACCATCATAATTCGGAGGGGATGAACATCCCATAAATCCTAGCTATATCCTAGCTATATATCCTAGCTATGAACAGGTGTAAAACACCAGCCATATCTCCCATTTTGGTTGGGTCAACCCGGATTGCTCCGTGGCTCCGTCGCGACGGAGCGCCGGCGATGAGGTGGAGTCGGTGGACCCGGTCGCCCGAAACACGTCCATTTCAGAGGTGGGATTTCACAGGGATTTCATGAGAAGCCTCTGGTAGTTTCACATAGCCAAAAAAAACCCAGCAATTTTTGATTTCGAATTCATAGATGTTCGGATTTCGACATATCTGCTGTTATTTTGTAAGATAATTCAAAATCAGTTCACTGATTTGTGGTCACTAATTCTAGTATCATTTTGGTTATGATGATGATGATGAACCGGTTGATTCACCAGGGAACCCTCCCAACATTTTCAGAGAAATGGTTCAATCTGCTTGGCGAAGCTTGGTGCCAGGCAGAGACGCATGCGCCAGGTGAAGTGGATTCCTTTCAGGGCGACAAGGTGCGAAGATGATGGTGATGATGGTGATGATCTATTCACTTTTTGCCTTTGTTGGACGACTTCATGGTGTTTAAGAGCCAAGAAAGGCAATCTTTCAGAATATCAATGATGGTGAATGACATGAAATATCATACCTTATAAATACACGTTATGAAGCTGGAAGAGACCGAGCTGGACATTTCAAGCACGGTAGAAATCTTGCAGTCAGCCCATGCTCCCATCAAAATGGAGATGTCACCACCAAAGTCACTAGTTTCAGGTTGTTCCATGTTGTTTTCCCATTCTTGTACTGGAAATACACGGGAAACTCCCATCTTTCGCGGTTTTTTCACATGTCAAAACAATGGTTTCAGGTTTCGATTTTCTCTGAAGTCAACCCAGTCCTTGTGCTTAGCTGTGACCTGCTCCTCGCGGTGCAGGTCGTGGTGCAGGTCGTTGCAACTGTTCCAGCAGTGAGACCCCCAGCCACGCCAGTGCCAGCAGTGCCCGATCTGGATTCGAGGCTGATGACAAGCGGCTGGGGTTTGTCTCAACATGGGATGTAATGGGCATATTATGGGCATATTATGGGCATATAATAGGGATAATGGGGATATGTATATGTATAATAATATACGTGTTTATATATATAATAAACTATGATTTATATGTATGTATAGTATATTATATATATACATACATACAGTATAACCACAAGTATATATCATGTGTTTGTTTCCTCGGCACACCGGGACTCCGGAGTGGGGAAGTTTACATCCATGGTGGTTGTGGAGAGATGATGAATCCTATTGGATGATTGAGCCTATAGGATTTTGCTCTTTGTCTTTTTGGGGTTGCTGCAAGTCACAAAACAGTCCACTCTGGGTACCAACTTCCAGCCGGTTTCCAGTCAACAGCTGCAGCAGCCAGGTGGGATGACTTGATCCAGCGGATTGCGTATCTGGGACAGGAGACCAACTACTTTCTTCGAGTGATCCCCACCAACGGGCATGCCATTTCTGACATTTCTATACATGTCTGGCAGACCTTTTCTCTGGCATTCTATCTGACACCTATTCTAGCATTTTATTTGACATATATATATATATATATACATATTCTGACAATTCTATCTGTCATATCATCTGGGATTCTATCTGGCATTCTATTTGACATTCTATCTGGCATATATTCTGGCATTCTATTTGACATTCCATCTGGCATACGGTCAGGCATTCTATCTCATGATTTATCTGAGATAATGTTCCCGTTCTGGTTCCAGGGCCCAGAGCTGCGAGGAAGCTGGCGAGAGGACAGGAAGGAAGGAGCGAGAAGGATGGCTGTCTTGTTAAAAAACTCGAGACCTTCATCTGGCATGTGGGAACTGTGGGGTATTCGGTGGATTTCACAAAGCAACCCTGCAGATTTTGCATTTTTTTCGAAACCCAATTGAAGATTAACAACTTGCTTTCAACATGGCAGTTGTTGTATTTTTACATCCCAATATCAACTGCACCGGTGGCCTCAAACAATGCGGATTTCATCACATAGAAACGCCATATTCGTTAAGAGGTATAGGACAGCCCTGCACGGATAGATCGTGAAACCTTGAACAGCTGAGTCAAGGAACCAGGTTGTGTGCCCTGTATCAGCACAATCTACCTTCAATTGCGAGTCGTGTCATTTGCAGCATATTTTTGCTAAAAAATGCTGAACTGAAATTTTGGAGCAGGAAGACATGTTAGCAGTCAGGTATGTTCATTTTACATCACATTTGCATAGAAAACATCGTATAGAAATTCATTTAAAATCGACACAAAATAGGTAGAAATTCCTTCTTCCACTTCACCGATTGGTGCAAATTAGCGTATTTGACCCATGCTCATGAAGCAGACTTTTGGCAACCCAATGAAGCATTGCAGACCGTCTCTTCTTTGAGGATCCTTCCGGTTGTCATGGTAGGTGAAGAACTCGGCATTCCTATCACAAGGGACCTGCCACGAGGGAGACTGGCGGCCCGCAGCCGAGCCCTGAGGTCGAGTGAAAAGTCTCCAGCTTCACGAAGAGGCGGTCATCCCTCAGCCAAATAGCCGAAGTGTCGTGGTGTTCTCAACAGCTTGGTTGGAACATCCCCATTTTGCGCATTTTGTTGCATGAAAATCACCCATGAATTGATGAATTATGATGAGATGATCTGTAAATGAAAAAAACAAAAGGGGCATTTTTTATGGGAAGATCACCTCTAAATGGATAGGAACGGGAGAGTTTTCAGCCTGGATCAGCAAAACATTCCTAAGCATCCAGAAATTCAGGGAGTGGCCCCAACAAGGACCAACAAGGAATAACTCTTTGGGGCAACGAGCCAATTCCTGGACAAAGCCCTATATATATATATCCCCATTGCTTGCGGGAAACGGAACAAATCATGGAGCTACTGTGCACATCCAACTGAGTGTCACAGGAGGTGCACTTCTGCTCACACATCATTTTCAAACCAAGCTGATCAACAAGATCGCAAGCTCTGCAACGAGTAAATGCAGAAGCCTGCGCAATTACACAGTGTGCAAAGCCAAAGAAGAGTTCAGCAGTCTGCCTAGTCATTCCAGCAAGCTGTCAAACTTCGTAAACAACCACTTGATCAAAGAAAGTCTGCAAGAAAACATCTCAAACAGAAACTACTAAGTGGGAGTTGTCCTTCACAACTCTCGAATCACAATGGAAAGCTTCGAATACCGAAGCATTCGTTTCTCGGCATCGAGGCATCGTTGAGCAATGGTCTCAACGGCGTGCAGATGTTTGTGCAACACTGACTGGTTTCCAGATGAGGCACAGGACTTAGACTTCGATGGCTTGGGCGGGGCTGCTGTGCCCATTCAGCCGGCGCGATTTTCAGACCTATTGGCCTACTCCACCGATATGGGTCAATCCTTACGTGGAAAGCCCTTGCGAGCTGGTGACGTCTGGTTCTTGCGATCAGATTCCGCTGCTGAAAAGGTTCAGGCGTGACCATTTTAATGGACAAAACGATGGTTGATTGTTGGCTGATACTAGTATGGAGGAATTAACAACCAAAGGGAATACAGGATCGCCAACAAGATGTGGAGTACACGTGTATTTGTTGGAGAGTGCTTGCAATAAATTGCATTGAATCCTCATCATACTTGTAGCTGACAGTAGACGCAATGCACCATGGCCTTGGACACGCTTCAGGTGGCTCTCTATGTCAATGGTCTCGCCATCGCCCATAACGGCAAAGAGGTGCGTGCATGCTTTTCGCCCTTTACACTGGTGCGGAACTGCAAGTTTCAAGATTCTGCGACATGCAGCCAGCTCATGTCTTTGAAGATTTTCAAGATCTTTTTCTTTGTGAAGAATCTCTGTTACTTCTTCGGCGTTTCAGCGGATGATGAAGGACTGGCCGAAAAGGAGCGGCAACAGTGGGTGGCGGACGTTGCCAGAGCAGTTCCTTCGCATGCTTTGGACACCCGTTTCTTTTCCCTCCTTGGGACTTTTGCTCTGGGCCAACTATAGTATACTATAGTAACTATAGGCAGGTGCCATGAACATGCCAAACAAATCCTAACAGTCCAGGTTCAAAATCGCAGTTGTTCCCTTTTTTCGCCGAGGTGCATTTGGTAACGCAATCCTTGTTCCCTCCCTTCAGCATCTCCTGCGAACCCATTTGTGCAGCGGCTGTAACAGCAAGGAGGCTGATGGCAGGTTATGTCTTGTACCATAGTGGGGATGATGTGGCCACGATTTTATATGGCGAGCTGTCCCCTCACACTCGTGGTAGCGATCTGGCCAGGCTCGCTTTCTATGAAAACGAGCAATGTCAACGTCTAGCGATGGAAATTTGGCTCTCGGTGGCCAGCAACTGTTTTGAAAAGGTAGGTGTGTCTTGCACGTGCTTCTGCATCAACGGTCATGACTTTTCTGCACGGACGATGGCGGAAAGAAAGCTTCCCGACAGTAGTTCCATCTGAATTATGTTTCTTCTGCTTGGGATGAATCATTGCCTGGAATTGACCGCTCGCTTGATTTATTGAGAATCAGAATATTCACTGTAAATTCAGGTGGCAATGGATAAGAGTTATTTTCTTTGTCAATGACTCCGCAAAAGCTACCCCCTGAGAACAAGATTTAATCCGGAGCCCACCCAAAAATGGTGCGCTGGAAGAGGGTTCAATGATTGTGAAGTGGCCACCTTTGGCGTTGAGACTTTTTTTTTTTCCGGCGCGATTTATTTGTTGCAAGTTGCAACCCGATTTTTACCTGTTGCACTCCCATGTTTGCTGCTTACTTCTTCATGTTAGGCCAGGATATATCTCCTTTTTGCAGATCAGATTCCCTACAGTAATCAGTTACTGTCACCTGTCGCCATGGTTCCCAGGCTCTGGCTTCGAGCCATTTCCAATATGAAGGTAAAGTTGCAGAATGCTGCGCCTGCACCAAGTCGTGAAGATTTGGCGCACTACCGAGAGGCCATTGAGGAGCAGGTCCGTGACCTGTCTGGAACGCCAGTTTTGGGATCTTTATGTTTGTGCATGTTTTGGGATGTGAGTGTCCATATGTTTCCATCAAAACCCAGTTTTCCCGGTCAACAAGCAGCAACGAGCACACGATATGCCATGTGATTTGCAGTTGTTTTTGCAGTTTCTGAGCTTTGGTGCGGGGAGTCACAAAAGATCGGTGCCATTTGCTGCTGAGGCTCTTTGGAGAACAGCTTGGAAGGCCGGGGCCCCGTGGATGCTTTGCTGCAACGGATCCAGTGGGAGAGGTCCGAGATCTCCCGGACAGACGATGGAAGCATCACGGCGGAGGAGGGCACGCTGGCCTCGAAGAAACCCATGGCCACAGTGGCACTGTCAGCGGCCAAAACGGGCGCTGGCCGAAGTGCGGGTCCCTTGTCACAACGAAGTGTGGCCAGGGACTCCTCTCGCCCTCGGTCACCGAAACAAAGCTGCCGGGACTCTTTCTGAGATGATCCAACAAAAACATCTTAAAAAAGAACATGGATCTGGTGGCTGAAAGTGGCTGCCGATCTATGAGGATGCAACCGCAAACGGTGGGAAGCTGTAAAAAGAAGCATGGTCCAATGGTGTTCGATTTGGAGCTGTGCAACTCTTGTGGATTCTTTTGGAGAGGGGCTAGGACCGGCTAGGACATGAAGCCTCAATCTTCGGAAGCTGAAGCACTCCTCAAAGCATTGGGTCATAGGAAGGAGTACTAATTAGTAGATCTTGAACATCTTAGGAACCATCTCACAGGAATCCGGATAGCTGCATTTTTTCTGTTCACTTGAAAAAAGGGATGTGAAAACCCACTATATTTTGGTGGGGGAAAATTATATTCCAATCTTGATTGACCCGGAAGAAACTTGCTTTCTGACACCTGATGATCAAAGTTTGGTATTTTCCAACAAGCAAGCCAGGAATGGTAATCACATACCGACTACATGGGTAACATGGGTGTTTCCTAAAATAGAGATTAAATAGGGTTATCGCCAAACCATTCAATCAAACCATTCGACTATATAACACAGATTTGAATGTTACATCATATCATATCATAATATCATAACATAGATTTAGAAACTTTCGTATTGGTAACACACGCACACACACACACACACACATATATATACATATGTATATAGATAGTATTGAATCAAATTGAATACCCTTTATTAATCATGATATAAGATAGTATTGAACCACCCATGGGTTTTGGGCTCCCGGGGCCCTTTCCGGTGCCAGCATCAAGTTGGGCGTTGCTTGGGACGCAGGCTCCGCAGGCTCGATGGACACGCCACCTTTGTCGGCTCGCTCGGCGCGATCTCTGGGGATTGGACAAGTACCTTGGTGATGACCGGGTTGGAATTTCATGGGAGTTAACTATGAAACATATGGGGAGAAGGGAAAGCGATACTTGATAAATGATGGTTGGTTGATCAATTTGTTCGGGGATTGTACTGACCGATGTATTCGGGAATATCTGGATTCAATCATGGTTAGTCGCAAAAAAAGCAAGAACACACCAACCAAGTTAAAATTCACTGTCTTACTAGCTTCTGGCTAGTACAATATCTCATAAGGTTTGCGTTTGACTGTTTTGTGTACTCATTATTTTTTGGGCGGTGTACATGGTCTGGTATGGATATTAGTAACCCCCTAAAATATAGAACAGGTGTAATGTACAGTATTTTAATATCTTTTTCGATGGATGCTATGATTTGATGCAACATGGGGATCTAACCCGCACTCTTGAAATACCCGGCCTGGTAAACGTTTACAAGAAACTATGGAACGATCCACCATTTTTGATGGGTAAATCAACTATTATTTCTATGACCATTTTCAATAGCTATGTTTGTTTGCCAGAGGGTATCAACAAACATCAACACACATCAACAAAGTGTATACAGGAAAGATGCCTGGCATGGCCATCCACAAGAATCCACGTATGCGGACGCTGAGGAGCGCGTGGCGTGTTTGCAGAGCCTTTGGGCCAACCAAAGGCGCCCAAAAAAACGGTGTGACATGGACAGGTCTAGCACCGCCATCCCAGTAATTATGTAATACGGTGTCCTAAACTGGAGGTATCCCCAAATGGTTTTGGGGATCCCCCATTTTCAGAAACCTCCATGTATTTCTTTCCCGAAGAACTAGGAATTTTCTAGGTGACTGAGATGCTTCCCAAATGGTCCTTGACAGGCAGCCTTATGTTGGGACTTCCAACTGGACAAAATCATCATCGCACATCTATGTAGTTTTTGAGCGCCATGAGCACCAACAATATTTGCAAAACCACGTTTGTTTTTCCTTAGCTTCCAGATCCTTGAAAAACTCGGACATTTTTTTTCCAGTGTCTTCAGCTGCAAGCTGCAGATTCCAGAATAAGATGGTAAAGTCGGATTGTCAATTTTCGATGCAGTTTTAAGATGTTTTAAGACTCAAGCCATTCTCCTCGCAGCAATCCGAAATCCCAAACATCAGCTGTGCAGATGTCAAACTTTAAGACTGTCACAAACCCGACTGTGGCCATTGTTTTGTTTTCAACATGTCCAATCTGGACTGAGGGGCAATTTCAGATCACAGCAAGAGCTGATAGATTGACGTCTGAGTTTCATCATTTCCGGCTGATCCTTTTATGCTTTGATTCCATATATACACACAAAACTCTACAAGTGCGGACATTCCGGCATTCCAAGCCTCAAGTCACGGTAGAACTACACCAGCAAAATAACATCAGCAAATTAGCCGCGAAGGCTGGGGCCTATTCCGCTCAACATAGGAGGTAAGGCCTACCAACCCAAGTTCAGGGAGAGCATTTTGTAAAAGCCTGAAATTGGGAATTAGTAGGTAAAATGGGGCCTTAGGCGCATCCCCAAGGCCTGCGGTTTGCAAATGGTTGTAATCCACATTTCTTGATAGGTGAATTTCCCCAGCTGTAACTATATATAAACCTCCATTGTTATGGGATTTGCTAGCCAGCCATGTTTGATTACCGAAGGGTAACGTCCAGGCCAAAGCTACTTGCGGGTACCTGAGGGGAAAAAGAGCCGCTTGATGTGCCATGGCCGAGGGTGGCATGGGGCAATGTAGGGAGGAACAGCAATACCATTGAAATCTAACAGTTTGAAATGTGGACTCATGTTGCATATTATCAACCCTAGGTGTTCTTTTTGTTGTCTACCAAGCTCTTGATCACATTGTGATTTCGGCAAAGACAACATCATTTTTGTCTGAAAAAGCTGCTTTGGCCACGCTATTGGCTATCATTTTTTTTGTTGCTCAAGGTAGAACAAGCTGCCATGGACCGTTCCCTGCTTGAGCCTTGGGACATGCTTCGACCACATGCAGCAAAGGAGCTTCAGCTGAAACCAAGTTTCAGCTGAAACAAAATTATTTATAAAAGTGTTGATGTATTTTTTGTGATCCATACCACTCATCAATGCTTCAACTTGCCGAACATCAATTATTGTCAATATACCAATCAAGTTCAAGCACGTGAAAACCACCATTCACGCATCGCCAGAACCAAAACTATCAACCATTCTCACTACTACCGCAACATCATCATCAGGGCAGTACCATCACCAACCACGACACTAATCACCATGAATTGCCATTTGGTAATCAAACATGGCAATTCGATATGCACCATTTATACTTTTTTCCCCACCTGCCAGGTGAGGGTCTCTGGATTTTATTAGAGTTGCTTTCTCCTCCTTCTTCTTCTCCTCCGGCAGCGTCGGATCTCAACTGCGAGTGCCGGATCTCAGTGAGCACTGCTGGACCTCAGCTAGACAAGAGACTGTCAGATAGAATGCCAGAAAGAATGTCAGAATATATATGTATATGTGTATATATATATACACATGTATATATATATATACATGTATCTGTATATGTATATGTATATGTATATGTGTGTATATATATATATGTATATGTATATGTAGATGTATATGTATATATATATGTATGTATATGTAGATGTATATGTAGATGTATATGTAGATGTATATGTAGATGTATATATATATATATGTATATGTATATATGTATATATGTATATATGTATATATGTATATATGTATATATGTATATATGTATATATATATGTATATATGTATATATGTATATATGTATATATGTGTATATGTATATATGTGTATATATGTGTATATATGTGTATATATGTATATATCTGTATCTATATCTGTATCTGTATCTGTATATGTATATGTATATGTATATGTATCTGTATATAGATGTATATGTATATGTATATGTATATGTATATATATATATATGCCAGAAAGCATGTCAGACTAGATGCCATGTCAAAGTATATGCCACAAAGAATGTCCGATAGAATGTCAGAATAAATGTGCCATATTTTATGTCTATATACACTTCCAGATGGTATGTCAGAAACTATGTCGGAATAGTGTTTCAGGGCGGGGATCACCCGAAGAAAGTAATTTGCCTTAAAACTTAAAACCTACATCTAGCTCGGGGATTTTCCAGCCAGCCATTTTTGATTACTGGAGGGTAACCATATCATGATCACGGCTCATGACCATGATCATGGTGATCCTGAAAACTCCTGTTACCAGACTTCTCAAAAAACTTGGCGCGAAAAACCGCCGTTGTTAGCGGTGCTGCTATGGGTCCCATGGGCCGCCGGCCGTGTGGTGATGTGGAAGCCGCTGGCTGTGAGGAGATACCGAAAAAATGGATCTTGGTTACTTGGATTAACCAATCTATGGTCATGATTCACTGATTCACTATGAATATGTTTATTTATAGCTCCAGATTATCTAGATGTATGTGATGCGTGAATATAAATATACATGCCTATAAATATATGCATTGTATAATATTTATACACAATATATATATATGATACACACCCTTTCGTTGATGTAGTATCCCCATTGTTGTTGATGATGTATCAATTTTCAATTGCTCAATCTACCTTTTTTTGTTGATTCAATAGAAACCACATGCAACCAACACCCCACCCAATCTATCCCACAGTTGTTGGTTTAATCGCTAATTTTGTTGATTACACCCCCATCACGATTGATTCAATAACCAGTTTTGATGATGAAAACCATTCGTCCATAATAATCCCCAATGAAACCATCCCTCTGAGAATTGGATGAAGGGAACACTCGCAGGAGGTGAAACCCTGTTGTTAATGGGAAACAACTATGGTTTCCCGCAGAATTTCCCGACCCGTAATCCATTTGGCGGGTCACATTGCTAATTTTTGGTTAGTTAAATTCATTTCCATCCCCATTCCAGTTGATAAAATGCCAAGATTTCCTGGTTAAAACCACTATATAGATCTATATAGTTCATCTATTCGCATATTAATATGTTGGAACCACACATTGTTGTTTCCATAACACAATTCCAGTTGTTGAATGATCTCCCCAACAGAATCCCCCCATCCCCATTCCGGTTGATTAAATACCAATTTGTTGAAGATTTGTTTTTTGTGAAATCTCCAATGAAACCATCCATCCCTAAAATTGAAGGGACAATTTGCAGCACATCTTATTTTCCATGGCAAGAAACCATGGGTTTCCTGAGCTTCCCCTCAAACCAACCTGTTCTTTTCCACCATGGTGATGGCCAGGAGCCTCCTTCACCTCGGTCCGTGAGCTCTGCGGCCTTCAGCAGCGAAACAGAGCGGGAGACCGAGCGAAGTTCCACGGTGCACCTGGGGATGGCCTTTTTTGGGGCGGAGCTTGGAGGATCCCATTTTGGTTTGCGGAAATAGGTATCCACAATAGTGATGTCGATTTCCCCAAAATTACCTGATGTTCAAATGTCGATTTTTTTTTAGTGATGACATTTCAAAATTTCAAATAGGTCATTTTCTGAATCTTTTGACGGGGAAACTGGTAAGTGGGGTTATAAACCAGTTATCCACGGTGAAAATAACTGATTGGTCTCTCCGTTCCTCGATCTTGATAAATCTAGAAAAACAATCCTCAATTAGTGTTCTACCAGTGTTTCCAGGTATTTAATTATATGGGGGGAAAGGATGAAGATGATGAAGTGGAGTTGTAACCGGGGATTTTCATAGGACATTTCCGTTATCGAAATTGGCTCCCCAGGGGATGAAAACTCTTGAGATTTGGAGGTGGAACCCGTGCCGTCTGAAGATGGAGAGGCCATTGCTGAACAGGTGAAGGCGCGCCTTTGATTTGGGAGTTCCAACCACTGCAGTTCAAAGTGATGATGGCTTCTGCTAAGCGACATGATCCACACCTATCTCAACTAAGGTTTCGTTTTCGGAATTCTTGGAACATGTTGTTTGATCAGAAAAGACACACCCATGCTGCCATGCTCAGAGGGGAATGTAGATTGCCCAGAAGGATCTGGATTGTGCACGTTTCTTCCTCCAACACAACTCTTTCGGGCATTTCTTGGAAGGCATTCTACATATAACGGAAGACCAAATAGCCCATAATAGCCCATAATAGCCCTACTCATCCCTACTCAATAATTCAATATAATTCACTGCTGTCTATACTTCCGTAACGTGACGTAGACTTTGCTATATTTCGAGCATTCCAAGTGTGTTGCTCCAAGATTCTCCAGATTTGTTGATTTTTTTTGAGGCCGAGCGGTGGCAGTGCGATTTGTGTTTCGTGTCTTGGCGGAAAAGTGCCCAAAGTATCCCAAAGTCAGGTGATCCCCAGGGAATCGATGGATTTTGGGGGAGAAATCTGCATCCAGTTCCAAAGGATCCTTCCCTTTTGAGGAATCCAGCCGGTTCATGGGGAAATCCATGGGAAATCCATGGGAAATCCTCCAAGCCCCGATGATTTCCCCCTGATTTTCCATTGTCGCAAAGTCCCGGGGACGTCTCTGTGCTCGTGCGCAACCGCGCGGCTGATGTTTCTTTTTTGTAATGATTCTGAGTGCGGAAATATACAGAAAATCACAGAATGGATGCTTTTCAGTTTGTGGAAATCCATACAGAAACTAGAATTATGCACGCGTTTTAACCTTTGTACTCATGTAATTAGATTGCGGGTGTACATCTTCACATACGCGTATTGGCCCTGACAAAAACCCTTTTACCCTCTAGTTCGCATCAAAATAGGTCGTAAATGGATGTCCATCCCCACATTCATATGGGAAGATCAACGCATTGATGAATCACCATATAGGTTCAACTAGTGAAACATGTCTATCTTGTGGGAAACGTAGTCATAAACCTTCAATTGGACATTGCCATTGATTTTCCCAGCTACAGTAACCTCCAGTGCTAGCAAACATGGCACTCAATATATCCGATGATTTTCGCAAAAAAAACTCCATTCACTGGGATTTCCCAGCTAAAACTCGGGATTCTTCTGTTAGATCATCTCCAAACCCCCAGCTGAGCTAAGGAGCCCTTCCTGAAATTTGAGACGCCCTGGCGCCTGGGAGAGGAATGCAATCATAGTCTTTGTCGTCGATGCGTACTGGGCTCCATCAGGCGCATATTTTGGTGCGGAAGATGTTTGGATCTTTGGAAGGGTGCATTCAACTGGGGATATTCCAGAACTGGAGCACAGTATTACCATGTATTACCCTCTGGTAAACTAACATAGCTATGGAAAATCACCATTTTTAATGGGAAAATCAACTATTAATAGCCATTTTCAATAGCTATGTTAGTTTACCAGAGGGTAACCACTTGCCAAACTTGACGATTTCTGCAGACTTGGCATCAGACTTGGAGCAACTGCTTGTTTGTTTTTTTTTGAACTTTCGATCGGGAATAGTTTTGGTTCCCGTGCTCGAAGTTCAGCATGTCCGAAAGTTGAATCACATTTTATCCAAGTATTGCACCGGGTGGACCCGACCTTCCCGTGGTTGTTCACCAACTTGAAAAACAGATTGAGATTCTGACCGCAGTTGACGGACATTCTGACTATCCCAAACATCTCCAAGCATCATCACAACTTTCAGATACTTTTTAGATCTTTTTATAGGATGTGTTAGTTGTCTCAAAGCTTCAACATCACGCAAATCAAGCACCAGATGACCCTTGTTGATATCGGTTGCAAGTCTGCTGATTGGTTGTGGTAGGGGCTTATGAACCTATCTGATTTTTTCCGGAAATCCAGCATGGCCCCCATGGCCATTGGATGCTTTTCCCATCCGACCCCGGGGATGAACTGCAGGTGGGGAGGCCGCTGCCCCTATGACAACACGCCAATCCCAGCCATCGTGGTGTGTGGTGCCATGGGCACAGGTGAATATGTGTGGAGGCCTATCACTATGGGATGGGATCCGTGGTTTGTGTGTTTTTTTTTTCCTGCTTTTTTTGGGGGGTTTAAATTTACAGCCAACTGAAAGGAGGGCCGGGATTTTTGGGATGAACCTCGAAACATAACCTTTTGGTAGTTAACTGGTTTTTTCGCCCTGCCGAAAGGTCATGTTTATGAAGGAACTATGTCGGGCAATTGGTGACAGGTGTGATCTTTCGCTGCCCAAACCTGGGGTTGACTCCGAGTGATTTGTTGACGTCTTTTTCCCAGTGGCTGATTGATAGAGGGGGCAACCCCATTGAACAACCAATGGGTATTATGATGATAGATAGTATACCAGTATGATATAGTATAATACCAAATCTGTTCGTCTTTTTTTTCCAAAAGGATATCATCGGATTTGTCATTGTTGCCTTTGGGCATTCTATTCATTTTTTTGGCATGCAAGCATGTTTCGGCTAGTCAAAGTAACTACTGACCATGAGGGGCTTACTGAAACAGTGATGAGTAGTTAAAGACTGGTGCTGGACTGCGTGGCCTCGGAAGTAAAACAACATCAAGATACAAACCCAATTTCCATTTCATACATTTTGTCTGGAGGCGAATGCTTGCCAACCTTCCTTAGTCCAAAACGATGCCGAACAGCTGCCAAGGTTTACCACGAAAAGTTGACGGAGGCACGAGAACCAGGAGGTGGAGGGAGATTGAACGTGATGAATGTTTGCAGGATACAAGAATACAAATAGACACACCAGCACACACACATATATATATAATATTATATACATACTGTATATATATATATGTATACACAATGCATATTAAACGCATCCATCGAAGCGCTCAGAACGCTGGTCATTGTGAGCTCAGTGACGTGACTTGGGAGGCGAGACGTACTGGTGGCGTTCCATGCAGCGTTTGGGGCTCCGGACATGGTTCTTGTTGGGTGAGGTACTTAAAATCTGACGACGCATAGATCTGGAAGGATGATTAATAATTAATAAGGGGAATCATCCCCAAATGACCTTAGTTCAGGTTGTATAGCGAATTAATTTACCCAGATAGACGGGTTATGCTGGGTTGTGATGGGTTTGTCTGAACATGTTCGGAAAATGCCCCAAATCCACTCATAAACGGCCTCATTTTTACATATCTGTCCGATTAAAATGGCCTAACATCTGCATGGGTCAATCCACCATCTTCAGACAAACCTATAATATATGTGAGATGTTTGGGCACTTCATGACTATATACAGGTCACGTTTGGGAATTCAAAGCCACGGATGACGATTTTCAATCACGATTCAGCAGGGGCAGGTCCAAGCATTCATAGTATTTCATAGTGACCACTGCTGGATTCATAGATTCTCAACGACAGCAGTGTCATCTCATCATCCCCTTAATATTAAAGACACCCCTAGACCCCCTGATTTTAGCATTGGATCTATTCATGTGATATTTTGGGATCCCATTTTGGGACTTATTTGGGGGAAGAGATGATTCAACCACTTGCTCTTAGGTGTCGGATTGTCCTGGGGTAGCACCCTCCTGTGGCACTCGGCTCGGGTGCCGAGGAAGGGGCTAAGGGGGAATCTAAGGCCACAGGGCTCAAAAACTCACTTTTTGTATCAATTTTGATGAACAATCCAATTCTGTACCTGATTCAGGGACTGAAGATTATCGGATATCCTCCACTTGTGGCGGCATTTGTTTTTGTGGCTTTCTGTGGCCGAATCCTGTATTTGTTTTTTGGGTCAGGTTTGTCCTTGTGGGTTGCAGTAGAGAAATTCGGGAAGTGCCCAGACCCCGCAACCTGGAAACTTTTGGTGTGCATAAGAGGACTTTATTTCAACGGGAATGTTTACGTCAACATTCAAGCTTGCGAAAGGACAACTTGAATGTCCCAGAATTGGTTTCGGGGAAATTTATGGGAACTTCCTATTTTGAGGATTTAAACCATGGTCTCCTGTAGATTTTCACATAAACACACCTTTGATTCATGGGTTTCCCCTTGTCGAGGGCTGCACCCAGCAGTTGCAACTGCTGTGGTACGCGGCACTGCGGCCGGACGGTCTGCGGCGTACCATGGAGCCGAGATGGGCATGGATGGAGGGGATGATGGGTTGATTTCAGGGAATTCTTGGGCGAACCCCATAGGTCCCATAGGTTTTTCCTTGTTTTTGGCAAGGATATCCGAATAGGAGCCCCCAAAATCCCATGGTTTGTCATAAAATTTCCCTATTAAATGGCTATATATTTATATATATTTAGTTTAGTTGGGGAAATTAACCATATTTTCAGACACACATCCATCCAAAGATGGGAATGGAAGCGCGAGGTGTTTCCGAAGCAGCTTTCATCTTAGTTGCTTCCTGAGAGTTGCGGCTCAGCTGTATCTGGAACCTAAAGATCCTCAAAGATATTGGCTGGACTCAGCAAACCAAGCGTGAGGAGTGCTGGACATCGCTGCTGGGACATGGAGCAGGAGATCTGACCCACAGCAGTTCGCGGTTTCGTTGAATTTCGGCCAAATTCAAATATTTTAAATTGGGACATCTTTGTTTTCAGCAACCACTCCATTTTCCTATGGTTTTCCTATGGTTTTCCCATAGAAATAGTGGATTTTCCAGTGGTCTGTTGCAATTGGGAGAATGATCCAGTCGGCAGGAGGAGATTCCCAGACCTCGAGGTTGGGATCCACTGGGATCCGGTCATGCGTGTCATGGGTGCCATGGGGATGAATCCATTTTCATAGGGATTTCACATATATTCATTGCAATATATATGTATATATATATATACAGATATATACAGATATATGATATATGGATTCCCATGAAATGGGATGGATGACCATACACCATATACTATCCATATACTATCCATATACTATCCATATACTATCCATATACTATCCATATACTATCCATATACATCCATATACTGATACTATCCCAAAAAACAATCTTTGATCCTAACACACATCAGTGTACCAGCAGAGATATGACTTCAGACCCAGCTGGGCTGATCCCCAGTTGGTGATGCTCAAGTGCCCAAGAATCCACTTAGAATTCCCCAAAAAAATCACCGGATCTCTTGGCTGATGCTCCCCAGTTGGGGTTTGTTTGAAGATAGGACACCCCTGAATCTACTACTGGTTAATCATAATTTTCCTGTTCAAATGGCCACAATTGGGGAACCCCCACTTTCAGACACTCCCAAATCTCATATCAAGTTGGTATCCTGATCATACACACCCATTCTTAACATCATTGCGGGCCATCATTGGGGAGTTCATCCCCAACCCATATCATAGGACGTTGGTTATATACTTACCTAGTCCCGCTATATATCCCTACTTGGGGGTGCAGTTCCAGTTTTATAAACCAAGAATTATAGGGGTACATCCCAACGTATGGAGGGTATCACCATGGTTGCATCCATTTGAAATTTGAGCTGCACCCGCAGGTATGGTAAAACTCATTAATATCCACTATGATATCTCCATGAAACCTCCATTTTTCATGGCTAAACCAACATTTTCCCACGATATCCTTATGATATCCTCCCTTTTCCCGACCTTTGGGGAGTTCATCCAGCAGCAGGTCACGATTTCCAGGCCACTACTCGGCGAAGATTAGCAGGGAGTCTTGAGGGTCGGAACATGGTGGAACCGTGATTCATCATGGTTCAGCAGGAAACCATACATATTGTATATTTATTTGATATTATTTGGGGGTTTCTTAAAAAAGGAGAATCCCCAATGGGTTTCAATACTACGTCATGGTCTAATTTGGATGATTTGCGGGTACCCCCCATTTTAAGAAACCTCCGTTTTTTGGGCCCCACTTTAGGGAAATGCCTGGCAGGGGCCTAGCTCCTCATGGTTCTTAGACCCCCCTTTTGGTACTAAGACCTTCTTAGAACAAAAGTGGTTCTTCGAAGGGGTTCTGGGTACATATCATATGATATATGTAATGTACATGTGAATGTGAATGTATGTAAGTGTTAATCTCAATGTTACTGTCGCTAATGTGCTTGATGGGATATTTACAATACCCCACACATACATTACCATCTGGTTATTTAACATAGCCATGGAAAATTGCCCATTTATAGATGGTTTACCTATTAAAAATTGTGATTTTCCATGGCTATGTTAAATAACCAGATGGTAACAATAAGAGCTTCTAACCATCCCATGATATCCACCCAACTTGTCGCAGAGTCCACGGCTGAGATGTCAGCACCTCGCTTCAGACCATGCCCCCAATGCGGGGTCCGAGTGCCCAGAGTGGCTGGTGGGGCACCGGTACCGGAGTCCAGGAGTCCAGTACTTGAGCTGGTTCTTCTTTGGAATGGGTTACCAATTTCATGAGACAACAACAACTTTTTTTTTCATCTCCTGTTACGTCTCTGACCTCAGGATGGTTACCTCTAAGTGTGCAGCTGCTGGGGGAACGAGTGAACCAAAATCCACCGAAATCCAGTCTTGACTGCTGAATGCTGCTAGAAATTCCAAAGGGTCCATGCCGTGGCGGATAAGAGGCACTTGTAGGATTTTCCCAATATCGGTTCCAAGTATTTTTCTACATGAAGGTTTCCTAAAATGGGGGTACCCCAAGTCCATGGGTTTCAAATTCAATACTATATAAGTCATGGTCCAATGTTTTGGATGATTTGGGGTGCCCGGATAGCCCTATTTTAAGAACCCCCCATATGTTCCAAGTATCCCCCGTTCTTTTCCGGGCTGGCTCCGGGCTGGCTCCGGGCATTGCGGCAGGTGATGGTTGAGCACAGTGGTGGCTGCAACATGGTGCCGGGGATCCACCGGTGTTGGTATGACGAAATTGGTAGAGCCAGTGATAAGACAAGTCTAATAGGCCATTTTTCGAAAAAAAAACAAGCAAATCTGGTTGGTGCTTTGGAATATGGCTTTTATTTTCCCATATATTGGGAACAACAATCCCATTTGATTAATATTTTTCAGAGGGGTTGAAACCACCAACCAGAAATGGTCGATTTGTTTGTCAAATCCTCGTTTCATATTGCCAGTGCTTGCCGGGCAATGGATGGTCCCAGCATTGGACCTCGGTGCTGTAGCACTCAGCTGCAAATGTCGTCTTTCTAACCCCATTTTGGCAACCAGTAGATATCTCAGGACATAATCTACATTTACATGTATCGCTGTATCGCCAATTATAACTAGTAGGTTTAGTAGGGCAGTAGGGCTTGTCACTGGACCCCAAGAGCCCGAAAAAATGGCGGCGCCGCCCAGATCTATCATGACACCTGCCGAACACGCTGGTGCTTCATTTGCCGCAGAGCTCGGAGACCCAAGGGCAGAGGCGCCCATCACCAGTGAGGATCTATGCCCCCAACAAGATACAGAAGTAATATGTCACTATTTTGTGTACATTTCCATCTTTTTTTGGAGGGGTTGATATACTTGAAGTGTACATCCTACCCCTTGGCATGAGTTTTTTTTCTCACCCTTAGGGTGTTTCTTCTTCCTTATGCCAGAGGTGTGTGGATGTCGAGGTGGGAATGAGGAGATTTCTGAAATCTCTGAGGTGGGCACTTGCCAGGACTTTGACTGCAAGGCATTGATTTTACCGTGGCGCTGTGGTGGTTTCAACACGTTACCACTGTTCATTTCCATCATTTCCATCCTTATTTGGGGGGGTGACAAACGGCGCCCATATTTTGGGCAAAAGGACACCAGAGTGTTGACCCATAGCCACATGATAAGTGTCAGTAACCCCAAAAAGACAGAAACGCAATTTACATTTTTTTTTAAAAATCATACTTATCTATACGTACTTTTAATCTTGTTGGGGGTCTATACCACAAGTTATGCTTTTTATGAAGGGTTCATGGCACCACCAGCCGCATTTTTCAAGCACAGGATCCAATCGTTGAGCCAGGCTCCAACGGGTGGTTCACAGCCTCCCACACCGCGAGGATGGCGTGGAATGGCGGACGAGATGTTGCTGGCAATGGCTCATAGCGGCTCAAAGATGGGTCATAGATTTTTGATGATTTTTGTTCATACGGTGAAACCGTAGATATTTTTTATTATTTTTTGGGGTGCAAGAACTTTGAGCCAGGAGCAACCATCTTTTCAAACAGCACCATGCACTCCGTTGGATGAGATGAGTTCCAGACTTATTCCAGACCTCCACAAGGATCTGACGGGTACAGGATGTTAAACAACGATTCCCATCAGATACGTAGCAGTAGGTTACACAATGACCATTCATATACTGTATTCATTATTCATGTATATTCATATTGAACCACTATGAATAAGGACAACTCCCTACTGTTCCGTACTGTTGCATCAGAAACTTCCTCAGGACCCATCCCTGGCCCCGAGCGCGCCACAGAGCGGGGAAGGCGGGGAACGCTGAAGGTCTAAGGAGATCTAAGGATAACGGATGGACCTGGATCAAAATGATTATTAAAAAAGTGGAATAATTATATGAAATAAGCTTCGGTGGTATCCCCAACAGCCGCAACGTTCATCTCTCTGAAGCAAGCTGCGAACCTGACCTGGCTCTGCACCAAAGCCTCTCACACCTTCTCCGGAACCTTTTCCGGAACCCCGTTGAACCTGACTTGGCTCTGCACCAAAGCCTCCCGGAACCTTCTCCGGAACCTTCTTTGGGACCCTGTTGAACCTGACTTGGCTTTGCACCAAAGCCTCCCAGACCTTCTCCGGAACCTTCTTCGGAACGCTGTTGAGCCTGACCCGGCTCTGCACCAAAGCCTCCCGGAACCTTCTCCGGAACCTTCTTTGGGACCCTGTTGAACCTGACTTGGCTTTGCACCAAAGCCTCCCAGACCTTCTCCGGAACCTTCTCCGGAACGCTGTTGAACCTGACCCGGCTCTGCACCAAAGCCTCCCGGAACCTTCTCCGGAACCTTCTTTGGGACCCTGTTGAACTTGACTTGGCTCTGCACCAAAGCCTCCCAGACCTTCTCCGGAACCGGAACCCTGTTGAACCTGACTTCGCTTTGCACCAAGGCTTCCTGGAACCTTCTCCGGAACCTTCTTCGGAACGCTGTTGAACCTGACCTGGCTCTGCACCAAAGCCTCCCAGACCTTCTCCGGAACCTTCTCCGGAACCTTCTCCGGAACCTTCTCCGGAACCCTGTTGAACCTGACCTGGCTCTGCACCAAAGCCTCCCAGACCTTCTCCGGAACCTTCTCTGGAACATCTGGAACTGTGTTGAACCTGACCTGGCCCTGCACCAAAGCCTCCCAGACCTTCTCCGGAACCTTCTCCGGAACCTTCTCCGGAACCCTGTTGAACCTGACGTGGCTCTGCACCAAAGCCTCCCAGACCTTCTCCGGAACCTTCTCTGGAACATCCGGAACTGTGTTGAACCTGACCTGGCTCTGCACCAAAGCCTCCCAGACCTTGTCCGGAACCTTCGGAACCTTCTCCGGAACCACGTTGAACCTGACCCGGCGCCTGCACCAGTGCACACCGGAGCTATTTTGGGCTGAAGACCTTATTAGCTTACGCTGTTGGGGAACTATGAAATGGATAATGGATATGGATCAGATATTTCCTTTCATATGTTTGCAGTTAGTTAGAAAAAGTGAAATGAAGAAACGACATGGTTTAAAATGCTTGAAATGCGAAGAATATCCAAAAACATGACCGTGTGCTGAAACACGATCTTCACTTGCAAAAATTCATTCGGCTCCTCGAATTCTGAGATGGGTGACTTTTACACCTTATTCCCCTGGGTGGAAGATCTTCATCTCAAGGACAAGTTTTTCCTTTCAGGAAAGCGATGTCTTCCTCTGCCGCGTTGATGGCGGGTATGGCTGGAACACCTGGAAATGGAACCAGAAGCGGGCACCCGGACAAAAAGGTTCCTGTTTTCTTGGGGGATGGTTCCTGTCTCCTATTGTTTAGGGGAAATGGTTCCTGTTTCTTAAACCGTGATGTGGTATAATAGGTCATAAGAAATTGTTCGGACCTCTCAAAAACATCATTTCACGGTCAATTTTGGTACAGAAACAGCCCTGACTGTGAGGGTCCCCCAATTCTAAGACAAACCCTCAGCCCTCACATCTTTTGTGCACCATTAAACCGTTCTTCAGTTCTTCGATATTTGTTTGCCCAAAAAGAAGATACCCCCAAATCCACTTGTGTCTGATCATCTTCTCAAGAATCCATTTCTGGACAAAGCCAGATCGCATATTATTGATTGTCCCATGATCTCCCGATTATACCATATGATGCCATGCTATGCCATGCTTGCTTATCGATGCTTATCGTATATTCTACTCCATGGTGGTTTCTGATCCAAATGATTCATATGTTCTTACTTTTTTACTTGCTGCAACCCGCAATTACAAACCAACGCTACATTGGAAGTAAACCACATGTTTGGTACGACAAGTAATACCATAATACCATGCCATGCCTATCTGGAAGAAACCTAACATATATTTCTGGAGAAACAAAGATATCTTTCCTTATTTTCCCCAAAGTAAACCAGAGCGCAATCTGAGGTCCTGCTGTTTTTGCTGATCACCGCGAACTTCTTCAGCGGCCTGCGCTTCAACATGCCGAGGTTGGATCGACTGGATGTTGGGATCCCGGGAATCCTACAAGCCACGACTACTGTTGGGATCCCGGGAATACCATGTTACCCTCTGGTAAACTAACATAAACTAACATAGCCATGGAAAATAACGATCTTTAATAGGTAAATGAACTATTTTTATGGCTCATTTTCAATAGCTATGTAACAAATTAACAGAGGATATGCCCCTGAAAAGTTGGATTGCACGATGGGAACATCCACACTTCTCACCATCCATATGAGGGATCGTCCCGAAATTTGTCGAACTCCCGCAGGAAAAGCTTGCCCTTTTTCCTGTCTGCTGCACGAGAGACCTGCTTGAAGCCTCAGAAACGGGTGACCTGATCAGAGATCCTAGTGGGTAATAGTGGGTAATGACTGAGAATCACCCGATGATTTTTACCCAGCTAGAGCTGGGTCTGAAAAAATTGGATACATTGTGGCCATCAAATAATAGGGACAAGGTTGATTTAACATCAAGTGTCGGGTTTTTCTTTGAACATTTCAGACAAAGCCCAGTTATTGACCTGGGTTCACGGATATTATCATCGCTTACTATTTGGGACCCCAGTTGGGAGTGGTTCATTGCCAGCTGGGAGCTTCTCGAAGGTTTTTGCTGGATTGAACATCGGAATGTTGTGGGTTGACTTCCCTATTAGTAATAGTATTTACCAAGACATTTTATGTGTGTGGCTTCAGTCCAGCCACTTTTCCCTGCAATTTCGCAATTTCCAAAACGGAGTCTATATTTTTCTGGATCATCATTTCAAACATTTTCAAACCAGAGTTGCTTAAATGACCCTTGGTAAACTAACATAGCTATGTAAAATCACATTTTGAATAGGTAAATCAACTACATATGGGCCATGTTCAATAGTTACTTTAAATTACCAGAGGGTAACGTTGGAACTTGCTGAGTCCTCCGCGTTGGAGGTGAAAATCTCTCCTGTGACACCTCCACCAGCAGCCCCTTGGAGTTGCACAATGGGTCCGGAGCCCGAGGTTGAAATCATGGTAACCGGAGGTTTCATGGGACTATTTCGTGGGAATATAATAAAGGGAATTGATGGGATTTAATGGGAATATCATGGGCATATCATGGGGGTATCATGATACTAATAGAGATACAATGATGAACATGAGCATGGCATTGAGCATGGCATTGAAGCAACTCCCCCCAACCCCTCAATGGGTAATAAGGCATCAATAGACCCGTGTTATCAGAGTGTTCACCCAAGAATCGGGGACCTAGCAACCCGGCTTACTAAATACTATAAAGGACTTACTAAATGGGGTTCTGCTACAAGTAGTAACCTGAGTACATCGGTCAACTGCGCACTCTGCCTTTAGTTCGCGAATCGATTGGGAAAGTGGCAACTTCTATATGATGACGATATATTATGGCTGTCATGATTATCATGATTATGATTGTTACTAGTGAACATACATATATAATCATATATATGAGCCACTGCAAAAAACCCGGCAATACTAAATATGTATTGGACGGACATTGGTTTATGGAAATTGATGGAAATTGTTGAAAACACACGGTAAGCGATGGGACCTTCCCAAATTAGCGATACCCCTTTTCAAGGTTATGTCATTGTATTTCTCTAATATCCACATTAGCGATACACAAATTGGACGTTGATTTTTGTGAATTATATATAAAAATGTAGCAGTTTCCTGCAAGCGATAACCCCCAAGTTTACCATATGTAATTGTTGTACAAACGTGTGGTAAGCGATGGGACCTTCGCAAATTTGTGGATGTCCTTTCCGTGAACCTAGGGTTTTCGAGATTCCTCATATAATATAGGATACATACGCATGCATACGCATACATACGCATACATACGCATACATACGCATACATACGCATACATAAGCATACATACATATACATACGCATACATACGCATACATACGCATACATACGCATACATACGCATACATACGCATACATACGCATACATACGCATAATTACGCATACATACGAATACATACATATACATACATATACATATACATTTACATATACATATACATTTACATATACATACATACATAATCATACATACATAATCATACATACATAATCATACATACATAATCATACATACATAATCATACATACATAATCATACATACATAATCATACAAACATAATCATACATACATAATCATACATACATAATCATACATACATAATCATACATACATACATACATACATACACAACATAACACAACAAAACATAACATAACATTACATTACATTACATTCCCATACATTACATTCCCATACATACATACATACATACATACATAACACAACATAACACAACACTACACTACACTACATTACATTACATTACATTACATTACCATACATACCCATACATACCCATACATACCCATACATACCCATACATACCCATACATACCCATACATACCCATACATACCCATACATACCCATACATACCCATACATACATATACATACCCATACATACCCATACATACCCATACATACCCATACATACCCATACATACCCATACATACCCATACATACCCATACATACATACATAATACCATACATACATACATACATACATACATACATACATACATACATACATACAGACAGACAGACAGACATACATACATACATAACACAACATAACACAACACAACACTACACTACACTACATTACATTACATTACATTACATTACCATACATACCCATACATACCCATACATACCCATACATACCCATACATACCCATACATACCCATACATACCCATACATACCCATACATACCCATACATACATACATACATACATACATACATACATACATACTTACATACATACATACATACATACATACATACATAACCATACATACATACATACATTACATTGCATTGCATTACATCACATCATATTACATTACAGTACATTACATTACATTACATTACATACATACATACATACATACATACACACATACACACACATGCATGCATGCATGCATTTATGCATACACACGCATATATATATATATTATACACAAATGTATATATATATAGAAATGTATATATATATATAAATATAGGTATATATATATATATGTACATACTACATATACATATACATGTATACATTATATTGCAACTTTAAGTTAATGTCGCTGGGTTAAAATCACCATCATCCCCAGCTCAGCTAAGGCCGGCCACTGCCAGCCTGGAAGTTTGAGCTGGACAGTGGGCCCATGGTGGCATGGCCATGGAGATATCAAAAACCCATGGAATTCCTGGGGTTTGACGGTATTTTAACGGTTTAACCAGCAGCAAATGGTGGATTTAATGGTGAAATGATGGTCACATGGTGATTTCATAGGTGAAATGATGGTTAATGCTGATTAAAACCAGGTTTCGTGTGATTTAGGTCAGTGTTGCTGGTGATTTTTGATGTGTTTTTACTGTTAATGGGATTGAATTCATCAAGGTGTGTCTGAAACAGAAGATTTTAATGCTGGGAACATGATGATTAACCAGTGGATGGATTGGGCTACACTATGTTCATACAAAGCCATCAATTCTTGGGGTCAATGATTTTGAGCCATACAGTACCATCCCATACCCAGCTCTGCTGCTGATGTTCCACAAGGTCTGCAAATGGTTTGTTTGGATAGAATTGAACATCAAAGATAGAGGATTCCATTGATACTGGCGACTTTTCCACTTCAACTTCAAGATCCACGGTGGAACATAAAGGTCCACAGAGATTTGCAAAACTGAAGTCTGGAATAGAGGGAAACTGCACGAGACCACGCAGTTGTATGACTTTGATAAAGGGAAGGCCTCTACCACGTCCGCCTAGTTACAACCTCCCTTTTTGCGCAGGACGAGTCCAGGGTGTTTTCCAGACATCACCTCGTCGTGCCAGGAGAAAGGGACGATGACAGATGACAGATGCTTAGCACTGAGATTCGCGGCATGGGTTTGGCTCCATGCGCCGGTGTTTTCTTCTTTTTTCAGATTGGCACAACATAAAGAGCCAGTGATGCTCGAATCTGAAGGATCTTTGTAGGTGCTTTGAATCAGCACCTGGGTTTCACCAAGGGAGGGGGACCCGTGGATGACTGGCAGAGGCTGATCTAATATATCTCAGTGCTAAATTGGTGATTTCTAATGATATCAATGATACTCAATTATTGTTTATGATCGTTGATGTTACTATCTTGTATTATCGTTGCTGTTATTAGTTCTTAGTTATTGGTTATTGTTGTCAAATATTTTTCTGGAGAGGTGAGCATTCACAGCGCTCTTTTCTGTTTTTTTTGTGTCCTACTGGAAACTCTGTAACATCTGGTATCTCGAACAGCCATCGAACAGCCAAGCCGTCCTCGTCACTGGGACTTGAAACGTGACCGCCATTGTTTTTCGCCTTTGGTGCGTCTTTGGTGTGTTGCATTCAGAAAAAAGCGGCTGATGGTGAGAACCACTCCCATCATATCCATATCCACCCTGTCAGGCGCGTTACACTCCCATGTCAGAATGGATAGAACGGGCAGCCAATGAATCTTGAACCCCAAACTCCCAGCACTGGCATTTTTTGAAAAGTTGCAGGACACCCTTGAATCATCTCCCCGCCTGCGCAGATTGGCGGGAGCATCCTGGCAGTCCATGGCGGGTTGTCACCCTCCTTGCATCATTTGGATCAGGTGGGAAGCTGCTGGTGTTGGGGGAAACCCCCAGCTTGGTATGAATATATTAAATATATCCATCGGTTGACCCAAAGGTTAGGCCTTTTTTTTTTGGATCAACCAAAAACAGAGGATTTACAGATAATTTGGATATATCCATAGCCTCTGTTTTTTGGATTCTGGCAGCAAAACAGAAGATTTACACAGCCCCCACTCGGCGTGAGCTCCGAGATTCGACTGTTGGATCGCTTCGCGGAGATCCCACACGATGGGCCTCTGGCAGATCTCATGTGGTCAGGGGCACCCGGTGTGGTCTGGGATGAATGGAACAGGGGTTGGTAAATGGTCCATAAATAGCTATACATAGTTAAAGTTATTATAGATATTATTTTAATTTTATTTCTGATTTATCAGTAAAAAAATCCAGAGGCGGATGATTTAAAATGATTGAACACAATCTTTTAAACCTTGCATTCGTATTCGGAATGGTTGAATGGGCGTTTAACATGTTGTCGGACCACCAATTCCGGAATTGAAGGGAAAACTTGCATGAAGCCGTCAAAAAATGAAGGTAAAAACCATGGGGTTTCCGGTAACATCTCCCAACCAACATCAATCCATCGACAATTGCAGTTGTGACTGTGCTGGCTGGGCCACCTAAGGTCGGACCCGGACCCGGACAAGTTGGGCTTCGTGGGAGACCAAGATGTGGGGAGATTGCTTAAAATTGCCATGATTTCCATGGGAAACGTATGGGGGTCTCCTAAGTCATGGAGGTACCCCCAAATCATCCAAGATATCCAAGTCATTCGACCATGACTTCGTATTGAAACCTATGGTGACTTGGGGATCCCCCATTTTCAGAACCCCCAGGAAAAATTATTACGAAGATACGAAGCATCAAATTTCGCACATCATTTTCAAACGAACCCATATGGAGCGAGGGGAACTTCAATATACGTTTGATTTCTTGTTTTTTTTGAGCGATTGCCATGAGAAGTGAGGATGAATCCAGCCATGGCTTTTCTCAATATTATAGGATGGTGTCGATGTCCAGCCAGTGCTCGCTTCTACAGAGCGTTTCAGAAGGGAACAATATATGCTGATATGAGCCACGGTGAAAAGATAGCTTGTATACCTGTATTGGGCGATACTCATCAATCCATTGATAGGAATTTATATGGATTCCCAGTATGATTATCCATTGGTTATCCATTGGTATATAAATGGTATATATTCCCAGTATTCTACATGGATAACCATAGCCTGCCTACCACATATATAGACCCTGGCACAAGGTGGCTCTTGTACCAAATCGCTGGTAGCACGGATGTTCATCCGGGGGTATCAGTTCATGTGGTAAAGCGTTTGGTAAACACAATAAGAATCATCCCCAAGTGGAGTTTATATTGGGTATACCGCACGGTATACCCGGTAAGAAACGGCAGATGATGTTTGACTAATCACCCAGTCAGACGGATGGTTTTTTGGACTTTATTGGATGGTTTATCTTTGGCACCAGAAAATGGAACTGCCAGGATGACGACTGCGCTGAGTCTATGATGCCATAGGGACCAGCTTGTTTAACCACAGTAATGAATCATGGCTCTTTGACATTTGGAACTATAGTTACTATAGTATTCCCACAAAGATATACAAACGCTTTTCCCAATTCTAAAATATAGTGGTCAATTTTATATTATCTGTATCGTTTTTGAGGGTTACTATATTCATAGCATCCCATTCATTTGGTTCTATTGTAGTAGTTACCCAACCCAAAACTAGGTCGTCATTTGGAGATAAGTCGATCCCAATTAATTGAATATGGAACATATCCAAAATAGGATAGCCCAAAATTTGATGCTTGGTCCGAAGATCCAGGGGAGTTACAAGGTAGGCCCCTCAGTTATAAGTTGGTTCATAAGCCCCATGAACTCTAGTTATACGATTTCTATCCTCCAGAAACCCAAACGTTAACCAGCCGCGATGTTCGTCAACTGAGCGATGACTCATTCGAGTGAAAAACCACTTTTTTCCCTGAAATATCCACCATGCTCTCCCCTGTAGAATGCTGGGTTTTCTCCATGTTTTCCCCCATTTTGAGCCCTAAACATCCAGCCGAGGTGATCTCTCCCCGTGGTGCCGGCTTTGTCTTCGGCCAAGATGTGGCATGGAGGCAGGGCTGCGGATCCCAAGTTATGGCTGCACCTTTCTAGGGTTTGTGAAGTATGACTTGTCATAATATATATATAGTTATATATATATACAGTTAAATAGTTATATATTTATGGACCATATATATATGGAGTTATATAGAGATATATAATTATATATATAGTAATGAATATACAGTTATATATATAGTTATATATATAGTTATATATATGGACCATATATATATATGGAGTTATATAGAGATATATAATTATATATATAGTAATGAATATACAGTTATATATATAGTTATATATATATATATGGACCATATATATATATGGAGTTATATAGATATATAATTATATATATAGTAATGAATATACAGTTATATATATATAGTTATATATATATATGGACCATATATATATATGGAGTTATATAGATATATAATTATATATATAGTAATGAATATACAGTTATATATATATAGTTATATATATATATGGACCATATATATATATGGAGTTATATAGATATATAATTATATATATAGTAATGAATATACAGTTATATATATATAGTTATATATATATATGGACCATATATATATATGGAGTTATATAGAGATATATGATTATATATATAGTAATGAATATACAGTTATATATATAGTTATATATATAGTTATATATACAGTTATTTATACATAGTTATATATATCGTTATATATATATTGTTATATATAGTTATATATATATAAATAATTATATATATAGTTATAAATATATATATATATATTTATAGATATATATATATAGTTAAATAGAGATGTATAGTTATATATATAGTAATAACTATACAGTTATATATACATAGTTATATACATAGTTGTACCTGTATGTGTATATATATATAGATATTATATGTATAGTTATATATATAGTTATATATACACAGTTATATATAGTTATATACATAGTTATATATATAGTTATATATATATAGTTATATATACATAGTTATATATATATCGTTATATATATATTGTTATATATAGTTATATATATAAATAATTATATATATAGTTATAAATGTAGTTATATAGTTATATATATAGTTATATATATAGTTATATATAGTTATTTATATAGTTATATATATAGTTATATATATAGTTATATATATAGTTACATATATATATAGTTATATATATAGTTATATATATATTTATATATATATAGTTATATATATATAGTTATATATATAGTTATATATATAGTTATATATATATATAGTTATATATATAGTTATCTATATATAGTTATATATATAGTTATATATTTAGTTATATATATAGTGGTATATATAGTTATATAGATAGTTATATATATAATTACATATATGTAGCTATATACATAGTTATATATATAGTTATATAAATACTTAAATATATAGTTATATATATAGTTAAATATTTAGTTCTATATATAGTCATGTATAGTGATATATAGTTATATATAGTTATATATATAGTTTTATATATATATAGTTATATATATAGGTGTATATTTATAGTTATATATATAGTGATATTTATATAATGATATATAGTGATATATATATATAGTTATATATATAGTTCTATATAGTTATATATATAGTTTTATATAGTTATATATAGTTATATATACAGTGATATATAGTTACATATAGTTATATATACAGTGATATATATAGTTATGTATATATATATAGTTTTATATTGAGTTATATATATTTATATATATAGGTATATATATAGTTATATATATAGTCATATATATAGTTATATATAGTTACATATATAGTTACATTTATAGTTATACATATAGTTATATATAGTTATATATAGTTATATAGTTATATATATATATAGATGTATATATAGTATATATATAATTAAATATAGTTGCATTTATAGTTATATATATAGTTATACATATAGAGTTATATATATAGTTATATATATATTTATAGTTGTATATATAGTGATATATACATATATATATATATACAGTGATATATATATAGTTATATATATAGTTATATATAGTTGTATATATATATAGTTACATATATAGTTATATATATATTATAGTTATATATATATTATAGTTATATATACATATGAATGATATATGTATATTATATGTTGCATATTATGATAATGGATTCATGATATCGTATTTAATGATCATTATGACTTTGGCGAGATACATGACATACTTATGGATGGGTGCTTGGGATCCCATGTATCATTCCACGTATCGTCCCAGAAACGGCCTTTTTTGTGATGGGTCATGCCACCCATGATTTTCCCATCTGAATGGGTGGATGATCATACTAAGCACCAGCTATCACCAGCTTCAGATGAACTGTAGAGGGTACCGGGGTCTGGATTTTGCTTGTCTTGAGCTAAACCCTCCAAGTTTGGGGTGCCTCATGTTGATGCAGAGCCGGGTGGGCACACTGCGGTGGCCGTTCCGGAGGTTTCTCCAACTGAATGGTTTAGCCCACCTGGTGCGTGCGCACCAGCTGTGCATGACTGGCTACCAGGTGCGTATAGTGGTTGACCTGGTGAATCTGCGGACAAATTCTAGGGGTTGCCTGTATTTGCTTGCTCATTCCAACCAGTTTTCTTCGTTTTTCTTCCAACTTTTCAAGTGTAACTCTTCAGAACTGGCTGTTCAAAGGATCCTCCCGTGGACTCCAATGGCCTTCCAGGGGCCTTTCTCCTTTGGTTTTCCGATCTCCTGGCGTCACAAAAAAAAAAACCAGGTCCTATTTGACGATAGCCTGTCAACCGTGTGGAGTGCTCCCAATTATTGCATCCAGGCTGCACATCCAGATGGGGTTTTTGGTGAAAGGCCCAAAGATGACCCGATAGCTGAGCAGTGTTCAAAATCCCGGTTGATAGGAAGTGAAACTTCCCGATAAAAATAGGGGACTATCAGAATCCATGATGGGAATCCCGTTCTTAAACAATTAATCTTCCCGTTCTGAACGTTGATTGAATTTAATGGAATGATATTTCTGGTCTTGAGCAGTTCCCAGCTGATAAAGATTCGCCCTTGACAATCCCATCACCCCCAAAAAAAACACCCCAATTGAATCTGGTCCCCAAACAAGTCTAAATTCCCTACTAAACCATATGGTTTCAAGTGGGTGTTTAATACAAACGGTGGAAGGTTGCCCTCCTTTTTATATAAACATACCATTTATGTCCAACATTTATTTGGATCATTTTCCTAGGAAATTTGTGACGGTTTTTCCGAGGCTATCGCTTTGGCAACACCGCCTCAATCCTAGAGATCTCCGAGGAACCTCTGTCGGGGATGGTTTATAACTGGGTGAAACCCACACTAACGATAATTTCTCAGACTTGTCAAAATCAAGTCATATTAAGGTTAGTCATTCTTTGCTTATTTTATCTATAAAATAATGAATTCATGTTTGGGCTACATATGAAATCACTTCTGAATGTCATTCAATGTCCACAGGTTCCTCTGTCCTTTTTTTGAAGCGACCTGCAAACCTGGGCATTGACTGTGTGACTATACCAAACAGTTGCACCCGCTTCCACTTTTGAGTATGGTTCAGGTTGTTGGTTCTACACACTCATGTACACATTATATATATATATATATGTATGGATATATATATATATATGCATACGCACATATACATTTCCCCTTTTGAGATGGTGGTCCTTATCATGACGAAAAGATCGGTCGCAGGGCTTCGGTCGCTTCTTCAATGTCTTTGGCCCTGCGCCTGAGAGCGAGCGCCACGGTCTGGGCCATGGTGGACTTTAGCTGGGTTATAATATGTTTATTGACCTCGATCTAGGATGTAGCAATATAAGTTATTAACCACTTACAGGCGGCTGGGTTGACTTACTGCGACATGGGGTGACTTACGGCGCTTACTTGTACTAACAACTTGCCGAGTAGAAATACCAGCTTGTGGTCCCTGTAGCGTTTATTGACACTGCCCATATTTTACAGGCACCGACGCCTCAGCCAATAAACACTCTCACCATCTTTCAGCATACCCTGGCTTTGATATTTTACAAATTTAAATTTCTTATGCGTGGGAGATGGGTTTGTCTGAGAACAGGGCAGCCCTGAATTTGATGATTTGATGATCGACGATCATTTTCTAATTAAAAACAAACTATATTTTTTGTGGTTGATGAGAATCATTTTCCCCATAAAAAAATGCAATTTTCTGGTTGATGATCATTTTTTCCCCATTAAGCCACACTTTTTTTGGTGACTTCACTTCCATTTTCAGACCCAGATGATCCTTGCCACTGAATCAGCCAAGGTCAACGGCCAGGAGATCCGCCAAAGCGTGAGTTGCCTAGCCTCCGTCCAGCACCCAGCGACACATCACCGGGGAGGCCATGGGCGACCTTGCCCTTGGCGCATGAAGGTCATATTTTTTGGGCATACCATGCCATAATTATAGAATTGCCACATATTGTCACATATTGCCAGAATTTTCAAACATTTCCATCCTGTTTTTTTGATAACAATTGGAGGAATGGGTGGATTCTCGATACTTTTGCCCCAAATGACCTGAGGTTGAGGATGGTCATCATATTTCCTCTGACCGGACGAAACGAATTACTTGAGCGGTTTGATGAGTTTGATCGTGGTTCTCAGGTCCCGGAAAATCTGCAGGAGCCCGGCCCTGTTGATTGGTTCAGGAGTCTAGACATGCTAAGATAGTTACTGTAATATCAAAGAAAATAATGAAAGTGGCTGATAGTCTACCTATTATCATAATGATGCATATAGTTAAATCATATGAAATTATATACGTAATGATAGATAGTGAACATAGTGAAATCAATTGTGATAGTCTTTTATGGGAATAGGGGCCTTCACTGGCAGGGGCCTTCATTGGCACATTTGAGGGGTTGAGCCATCATTCTAAAACATTCCAAAACATTCCAAAAAATAGAAAAAAGGGCAGCATTTCCCTCTGTTTTATAGGAAAATTGGTGGTGGCAAATTAAGCCCCAGAAGCTCTTCCACAAAGGTTTTATTTATTTATTTATTTTTTTTTGTTTTTTTCTAGTTTTTTCTAATTTTTTCTATTGTTTTCTAATGTTTTCTAATGTTTTCTAATTTTTTCTTTTTTTTTCTAAGTTTCTTTTTTTTTTGTTAGATTGTGTCTTTTTTTTGCTACTATTTGGGGCTGCTGTGAAAAATGTGGGAAGTACCAACGACCTGTGGTGAAGTGAAAAGATAGTGTGCTGAGTGCAGGGGTGTTGGCAAACCACAAAATGGGGAAGAATTATTTTGAAGTTTTTGTACTGTTTCCTAATGTTTTCCAACTTTGTTGAATGCTTCTGAACTTTTGGTAATTTTCCCTATTTTTTTGAATGTTTAACAGCCTGGCATCCTGTTCCAATAAGGGTCCCTCTGAAGAGGATCCCAGGGGTGATGAATGAGATAGTAGATTGATAATCGAGGATCAGCAATTATGATAGTAGATTGATAGTAGATCAACTGTAACTCATATGACATGATCATCAATTCTGATCTATGATTTGAGATAGATAGATAAACATATGACATTGCAGTTAAATGGATAGATATTGTGAATAATGATTGATTATGTCATTATATTATTGATATTCCAAATTATTAGCATATTATATTAGTTTATTGTTAATATTATTAGCATATTGGATTGATATTATTGATGATTGATGCTGGTGGTTTTGATAGCCTTTCCATCCAGGTCATCCAACATCCAATGAGACTCTGACGCAGGACGAGATGATCCTTATTTCACCTGAGGCGGATGACTTGGAGAATGGGTGACCGATAGTAAAGATTCAACAAGGATGACGACTTTGACATGGGTTTGGTGATGAAAATGTTGGGTTAATCTTCCCAATAGCCATTTAAAAACGGGATAATGATCAGCAAAAGCATTGGGTAAATGGGGTACACATGGGTACACTATTTTCAGACACACATTTTACATGTCCACATCAGGAACCACATCTTTGTTCAGGTGACGGATTTGGATCACGACCAAAGTCAGTGCAGATTACCGCACACAAAAAAAGAATCCAGCAATTTGATGAAATCACATGAAGCTACTACACACGTCAAAACACTTACGTGTTAAAATAGAGCATGCGGGCCTGAATTATGATAGTAGATGATTATCAATTATGATAGTGTAAATCATTCAGCCTTGCTTTCGTCTTATGAATTTTCACAGGACCTTTGGACTTCATCCGAATCCACCGGTTTTTTGCCGCGTCGTTCCGCGGCACAGGTCGCCACAGCGCAAAAAAAGCCTCTGTTGCTATCACCCCACAATGCTGGAGAGGGTTTGTTGGAGTCAGCATTGGGACTGCAGTATGTGTTTCCTTATTACTTCCCTGGTTCGAAATGCTCGAAAAGTCGAAGGCATCCACTTGTCTAAGAAATCCAACAGACCCCTCGAGCATAGCCCTTGTCACTTAAAGATTGCTTATTGGGGTGTTGGCTGGAGGGACTGGGGTTATGCTCCAGAGGTATGTTATGTTCAATTTATCAACGAGCTTGGCATACATGGTGAAAGCCTTTGCAGCTATGACAAACCTTTGAAGGACAAACCGCCATCAGTGGTGAACTCTGACTGCAGACAGCTCTTTTAGACAGGAAGCAGGTGTCAAACACCTTGTTGGTTGATAATTCTAATGGGTTGCATAGAAGGCTTACTAACAAACAGGATTGTGACCAATAGTAGAACCAATCCAACGTAGGCTACAGCAAGTATTGGGAAGTGCTCACGTGTTCCTTGGAATCCGGATAAACGGCCTTCGAGCTCATCCCTTCGCAATGTCTGGAGCGCCCCTTCGCCGAATGAGAAAGAAGGGACGCAGCATAAATGAACAGCTGGTGAGTTTTGAGGTGGTGAACTTGCACGGAAAAAGGTGGAGACTGGAAGACGTGGCAATCTCCATGTTGGGCTGCGAGCTCTACAAGATGATCAACCAAAAGCTTCCCAGCAGGTCAGGTGCTCGGCTCTCTGTTCAGTATGAATCTTCGCCCTTGATCTGGAGAAAGACCTTGATGCAACAGGGGATACCAGCAGGGTCCGCAACATTGTCCTGCGTTTATGTTCCTGTGAACCTCCATGCCGCCTGGAAGTATCTTCAGGGACACGCGGTGGACGATGAAGACTTGGCGCTGCATGGGCTGACGCAAATCGAAGGAGCGGAATTCGTGAGGGTCCTTCAACTGCCAAGCAGCCTGCAACGCTTGACACTCGGGAGCCAATGGTTGGGTCAGAGCCTTGGGCAAGTCAACTTCCCCCAAGGACTCATGGAATTGAATGTTGGCAAGACGTTCAACTGCAGCTTGGATGGTGTGATGTTCCCTGCAAATTTGCAAAAATTGACCTTTGGCGAACACTTTAACCAAAGCCTGCGGGGTGTGGTTTTGCCAGTGGGCTTGCAACACTTGGCTTTTGGCGACAACTTTAACAGGTCCTTAAGCCAGGTTACTTTACCAGAAGGTTTGACAAGCTTGATCTTTGGCGATAAGTTTAACAGAAGCTTGGACGACGTGGCTTTGCCAAGAGATCTGCAAAACCTGACTTTTGGCAGCAACTTCAACAAATGCTTAGATTTCGCGACTTTACCACCAGGTTTGCAAAGCTTAAAATTTGGCTGCAGCTTTAACCAACGCTTGGATGAGGAGACTTTGCCAAGAGGTTTGCAAAGCTTGACTTTTGGCTCCAGCTTCAACAAGCGATTAGATGGTACCACTTTGCCCACAGCTTTACAAGACCTCACCTTCGGCTGGTTTTTCAACAAGGGCTTGGATGGCGTGACTTTGCCAAGTGGTTTGCGAAACTTGACTTTGGGGGACTGCTTCGACAAGAGCTTGGATAGTGTGACTTTGCCAAGAGGTTTACAAAGCTTGACTTTAGGCTACAATTTCGACAAAAACCTAGATGGGGTTGCTTTGCCGAGAGATTTGCGCAGCTTAACTCTGGGCGATTGCATCAAAGAATCTCACCGTGACTTTTTGGAGAGGATCACTTTGCCACCAAATTTGCAAAGTTTGGCTTGGAACTTAAAGAGGCTAGACGGAGTGACTTTGTCAGTGGGCTTGCAGCAATTGACGTTTGGATCTCGTTTTGACCAGAGCTTAGATGGCATTGCTTTGCCAGCATCATTGCAAAGCCTGACTTTTGGCTTTAGTTTCGATCAGAGATTAGATGGCGTGACTTTGCCAGTGGGCTTGCAGTATTGGACTTTTGGATCTTGTTTTGATCAGAGCTTGGATGGCGTTACTTTGCCAGCATCATTGAAAACCTTGACCTTTGGCCGTGATTTCAATAAGAGATTAGATGGCGCGACTTTGCCAGTGGGCTTGCAGTCTTTGACTTTTGGACCTCGTTTTGACCAGAGCTTGGATGGCGTTACTTTGCCAGCATCTTTGCAAAGCTTGACCTTTGGCCGTGATTTCAACCAGGTAGTGGATGGCGTTTCTTGGCCGCAAGGCTTGCGAACCTTGGCTTTCGGTCACCGTTTCAATCAAAGCTTGGATAGAGTCAGTTTGCCACGATTCTTGCAACATTTGACTTTTGGCCGAAGATTCAACCAGAGCTTGGATCATGCAACATTGCCCGCAGGGTTACAAAGTTTGACTCTCGGACGCTTCTTTGACCAAAGCTTGAATGGTGCAACTTTACCGGCGGATTTGCAAAGTTTGAGTCTTTGCACCACCTTTGAGCAGGAGCTGGACGGCGCTTTGCCAGCAGGTTTGAAGGCGCTCCGTTGCAAAGGGTTGATGGTCTGCACAGACTAAAAAAGCATTGACCGGGTGAAACATTCGGCAGAGATTCTGAAAGTTTTCAACGGGTACCCTCCGGTAAACTAACATAACCATGGAAAATCACCATTTTTAATGGGAAAATCCACTATAAATGGCCATGTTCGATAGCTTTTTGTATGTTTACCAGAGGGTAATGCGACATGAACCAATTCCTACTGTAGTTGGGCCAAATCATCGGGGTTTCCGAACAGTGTCCTCGCAGCTGCAGTGCTTGAAGGCCAGCGCACCAATGATTCGACGGCAGTAAAGACACTGGTTACCTCTTGGAAATCAGAGATGATGTCATTTCCAGCATCCAAAATCAGCTGAAAGAAGCTACAAAAAAAACCCGGGGCTCCTTTCCAGTGTAGTTTTCAAGAGTAAGGACCTAGAGATGAACATTGAACGCTTGGCATTCGCATCGGAAGCCTATTTTTTGGCCCCGCCCCAGGGCGAAGAATGAGGCCCTGAGAACTTCTATGGCATGCAGCGGTCGGGGCATCCGCGCATCAGTTTGGAGAGTTCCAAGAGTTCCAAGGCGGGTCCTCAATTCTGGAGACTTCGTATCTAGTGAAGCGGAGGATCATCTAATCTCAATGACATTGAACAGAAAGTACACCTGATAAACATTGATATAATATGATATATAATAATCCCAAATCTTGTAAACTCTTAAAAAATACATCATTTGCCCAATTGTACCATTTGGGGGGTTTAAGGACCATTGCGTAAAAAAATGGTTGGGTTCACAATAAGTTCACAACATCATTATTGATGGTTGTGTTCCCACCTATCGATGACTATATCCCCGTCTATTGACAATGACATCCTCTATACCAAAAGCAGGTTTCTCACTACCATGCGGATATAGTCATCATACATCCCATGGTTAAATCATTGAATCATACCCCAATGAAACATCCATTGATTTACCCTCTGGTTATTTAACGTAGCTATGGAAAATCAGCATTTTTTACAGGTATATCATACGTAGGTATCATCATGAATCATCCATAAAACGGGCCATTCTCATCGATATTCATCGATTTTCCATAGCTACATAAAATAAGCAGAGGGTATCCGAATTACCACCTGGGATTCCTTGGCACCCAATCACCCAGGGCTCTGTGCGACGCGAGTCGGCAACGCGACGCCATTCAAGGGTGACATCACCAACGGTGGCGCCTGTGGGCTTGGGAGCCCAAGCTTTCAACCAGTGGTGAAGAGGGGTCTGTCTGGAAATTGGATGTACCCCCCAAAATTGCTCATGATTTCAGACATCAAATTTCGAGAAAATGATGAAGTACGGGATTTTGGGGTACACTGTTTTCAGACGAACCCATATATGATTATATGTAAAGTTACGTAATATGTGTATAATGATATTGTTATATAATGATAATTATATTTACATGATAAATAATATTAATAATATTAATAATAATGATGATAATAATAATAATAAATAATGATAATAATAATGATAATAATAATGATAATAATGATAAATAATAATGATCATAATGATATAATTATGTGTATATATACGTATATATAATATATGCTTGTTTTGCCCAAGAGTTGCCCATGGTTTGACACGTTTTGGAAACAGATAGTAGAGATATCTTACAGAGTGCTACTGCGGTTCATGAAGCTACCAGCGCACGCGCCTAGCAATGGTTTAGGAACATTGCTCCTTCATGCTCACAGTCGAGTCAGTCATGTTGAGAACATGTATTCACTGGTATGTGTAATTGTAGTGCATATAACTGTATATATATACTGCGTGTATATTTGTGTATATGTATAATATGTATATATATAATATATATATATATATTGTTGAAGGTAAATATCATGCGTTCCACATGGCTCTGACGCTATAGGTATGCACAATGGTGCATTTTGATGTCACACAAACATATAAATACATATGTATAGATACACACAGACATACAGATGGGTTGATATACTTTCGGAGTTCAAATGGTGTAATTACGTGTTTATTTCATTTTATTTCCACATACTGTTAATTTAACATACTAATTGGAACATCAACATTAATATATATATATATAATAGGCCTTAAGACGCAAATCATCGAACTAGATATGCCATGGCTTCGCCCATGAAATTCCACTAGTTGAACTCCCCATGGAAGTCTCAGATGGGTCAAGGCACTCCCGTGGAGCTGGGCCACTTGCAACAAGCCCGCGAGTTCTTGGACGAGATCCGGCAAGATTTGATCGGAGGTCGCGGTGTCACCCGTCACTGTAGGGAGCGATGGGGAAAGGCCCCAAGAAGTCCTCTGGTGATAGGTAGCAGATGGTAGCAATCATATATATAATGTATATATATATGAGATTATATGAATATATATATATATGTATATATACATATATATATACAATACTGTACATATATATAATATTAATTTTGATGTTCAATAGCTATATGAATATGGTAGCCTATAGATCAATAGAACATATTTTAGAAGTATGGCAAGTGGATGTTCATCTGCCCGAACATGTCATACAGGTATTTATCTATACCGAATGTGTGTGTGCAGATAATACACACATACTCTACTCTATACATTTTTGTCTCAGCTTTGAACATAGTTGAGCTATGGCATGTTCCTTTATTTCAATGGATTGGCTTAAGGGAAAATTTACAGGAAAGCCCCATATTTAATGGGAAAATCTATGGTTTCCTGTAGATTTTCCCTTAAACCAATCCATTGATTATTTGATCAAGACAAACTGCTCACCTGTCCAGACGGTGATCATCATGCTGATGGCATCAGCCAAAGTCTTCAAGGCATCACGACTGGGACGGCCACTGGATCAACTTGGCAGATCAGTTTCTAAGCGCAGACATGTTTGATGCTGTCAAGGGATATGGCTGACATGCACTTAGGAATGTGGTTGAAGCCTCTGCGCTCTCAGATTTTTTGCGAACTTTGAAACTGGTCCACACATTTTGATACATTTTGTACCTTAGGGGTTGCATGATGAATCAGCTACCCTCATTGCTTGTATCATTTATAGACTTTGCCGTGGCATTACCCAACTGTTGCTGGATTTTTCTGCCATGTCTCCGCGCTTTTGGAGGAGATCTCACATTTTCCAAGACCAAATCCATAGGCCGCTGCCGGGGAGATGGCAGGGGTGGAGTGCCAACTTCTACATCCAGAATCTTCGTACAGCTATGTAGCAGCTATGTAGTTTTCCGTGTGCAGAACTGGATTGTAGATCCTGCATCGGCAGACACACAAACACACACACACATAGTGTATATATATATATTTGCCTCTAATAGTTACTAGTTTTCATGTAGTCTTTCCGATGTGCTTTCCAAAACACGCTGATCCTCTTTTTAGCTCATCGCATCCCTCAGATCCAAGGTGAGTTTCCCAGAGATTCGGGCAAGACGTTGATGACTGCAGTGCAACGCTCGGAACTGCACCGGCTCTTGCGAACGAAAGGCACCCGGTGGAGTCCGTTGAGTTGGTTGTCTGTCTGTCTGCTTGTGGATTACATGGAATTATCCACCATGATATCCTTTTTTATCCCTATGAAATGGTAACCATCATCAACCATGAATAATCATATATTAGCCATTATTAACCATAGATTAACCATAGATTAACCATGATTAACCCAATATAGAAGGCTAACAACCATCATTCTTTGCATTCTCTTCTCAGCATGCCACTTACCAGACTTACCAGGCTCTGGCAGCGACATGGATCGCTTGGCGGAGTTGTGTTGCAAAATGCACTTCTTCAAAAGGCGGGCCAGCGATGGAAATTCTGGACATCTTCGTGGCTTCCTGGAAACGATCATCGATCGTTGTGGATTTTTTAAAATAATTTTAGGTGAGTTTATTGGCTACCACTAAAATCCAATTGTGAAAAACTGTCTCACATCATTTCAACATCATTTTGACATTTCATAGATATTATGTTTACCATCGTGTTCTCATATTGCAAAGTTGCCATTTTTTGAATTGGGTGAAGAACCGGAATTGTGGGGCGAAGCAGTGATGCTGCCATGATGCCAGACATTTTTCTTGATCGCGCGACCTCACTGGCCGCCGTCATAGCATTTTTGCTTTTGTTATTCATCCAGATGTTCACAGGATTGGATGACGGGAAAATTTACAGGAAACCCCTATATTTGATGGTAAAAACCATGGTTTCCTGTAGATTTTCCCTTAAACCAATCCATTGAGATGTGTAGGTGAAACCAGTTTCGTTTCATTGTTTGGCTGTTTCTTTTCTTTTACAAATAGAAACAGCCATTATCTTAGACCTTTAGAGACTGCGGCATGTGGAAAGAGTGGGGACAGGAAATCAATTGAGGCAAACTGACTCTTTCATCCGGTGCCCCCGTGCCCTATCTGTTTCTTTTTTTTTAAATTGCCTTGGAACATCCATTGGTTCAATGGATGAAGACCTAGCTATGCAAGAGTTAGCTTGGTGTGATTTTTGACCAGGCAGGGCTGCCAGGGTCGCCATCTCTTGGGATACAGGCTGACGCAGCATCAGTTGCTGGAGTTCTTGACTGCAGCGGAGTTTTTTGAAAAAGACACCGCGGCGGCACGGCAGCAACAGTAGTGTACCTCTGACATCAGCCACAGGGTAACATGAGATGAGTAGAGCGCAAACCCAGGTTTACAGGCTGAGATAATTATCTTTCCTGTCCTTTCATCCCTTTCATATCTTTCATGCCTAAAGTGGTTGCATCCAAAGCTCAGGAAATCATCTACCGCGACGGTGATCCGTTGGGTAACGTCTATGTGGTGCTGAATGGTTCAGTGGTGATCCACCGAGCACTACAAGAGGACGCCATGGGCGGCAAGCCACGAGGCGCCAAGAAGCTGGTTCCCTTCTTTGAACCTGACATGGCCATGTGGAAAGAAGATCGACATGGCGGGCAGATTTATTCTGCTTGATAGATTTATAATGAGTTATATAGGGCATTTTTGGATCCCTGCGATTTTCTGGTTTTTGGGTAGCCAGTGGCTTGACATGCGTGACCCATTCCCACATTCTGGTGAGTCATGGGATGTAGTGGGTCAAGCATGGGTCTGTTAACTCCTGGCTTCCATGGAGGACACTGCCGAGCCTTTGTCTCCAGCTGCTTTGATGGTCGCGCGTTTGGGGATGGTTGGGACTTTGCTGGAAAGCAGTGTCTTGGTGGCACCACGGTTTCTGTGTGCTGAAGGTCACAGGTCCAATGGGTCAGTCCTTTTGTCCTCAAGGTCAGTGCGGTGTACTACGGCAGTGGCACAGGCCACATCAGGGTCAACAGCGCAATGTTAAGTGCTACAGCAGTGATTATGCATCAAACTAAATTGTCTTGATTTAACATATCCCTCCTGTTAAACCGACTTTGCTGAGCGGACAGAAACATATTCCGTATAATATGTAATCGTTAAGATAGTGGCCTGATTCACAGAAGAATCCTGAAGGCCACCAGCCTCCCATGTGTTGCTACGTGCAGTCATAGGGACTACTTGTCATTGAAAATCAACGGATTTCCTCCCAAATTTGGGCTCAAATATGCTAGATATGAATAGATATGATGACTTCAGGCTGTTCCATTTCTTGAAGTCATTCGGTGCAAACAGCTTTGTCTGACAGGAGAAGAGCCTGTTGTTGCGCTTGGACACTGAGACCTACCGTGAGGTGCTGCGCAAGGCGTGCTTACCGCTATAGATCCTTCAGCATCCTTTATATAGCATTTTTTGGATAACATGAACCTGTGTTTACAATGAAGCCAGTCAATTCTCACCTTCCCAATTTGCATTGAGTTTGAGGTGCATGATTGAAATAAGAATATGCAAAAAGCACAAGACCAGGAGCAACATGCTTCTACCGTGATAAACATTCTGATAAACCATGATAAACCCATGCATTGATTGATATGGGGAGTTCAGTGTATGCTCTGAAAATTCAAACCTTGTCAAATACAAAAGATATGTTCGCGGTGGCCCCGGAAAGCGCACCAAACTCATCTAGATATATCATAATTGCATAACATATATACTATATATATACAGTACATATTATATACACAATATATATATATAGTATTAGGTATATGTATAGATCAATAGATATATACATATACAGATACACACACACTTTTGGAATCACCCTGAAGGGAGAGGATGAAATGAGATGACATGAGCTATGTTGTTAAACACGTTACAGATTAAGGTTCCAAGTCACATTACAACTCAAGATTGCATGTCCAAACCCAACTCAAAGCATAATGTGAGTAACGGCATGCTGGTTCCAAGCTTAGCCGGATGCTGTGACGAATGCAGGTACACCAGGGTGATCAGCCCTGGCTTCCACCATCATGCATAGCTTCGTTGGCATGCGTTTGCATATGTTTGCATGATGGCCGCACGCCCCCTGCTGTCGGATCTTTGTTGACATATACCCTTTGGTACAGGGGCTTTACACACACACACACTCTCAGGTGACATGGGCAGCTAACAGCTAATTCCAAGGTCACCACTGACCCAGATCGCCTTTTTCATCGGCCAGGGAGACGTTTGCTCCGATCACGCAGCAGCCTTACGAGAGTTGCCATTCCTACAGGAATGTAGCAGCTTGGTAACGAAAAGTCCCAAGGGCAGGTGAGCAGTGGCTGCTAAACCCCACTTGGTTGATGATTATAGGGGATTATATTATCCAATATATTGGGAATTACAATAATCCAATAGGGGAATCCCTATTAAACAACCAGTAGAATAGTACGACAGAGGGATTTTGAACAATGCCCAAGTCAGTCCTAGCTGAAATGGGTATGGCCACCTGGGGTTGAGAGACCCAGCAATGTAAAGGTGAGGTCAATCCTTGTCCTCGCGAAGCAAACGGTTCTTGACGTTCCAATTTTTGGACGCGCATCTGCCATTGCGTCCGCAGCTTTAGATATTTTGGGTGGGAGAACACATTGGAGGATATCCCAGAAAAGAGGGAACGCCGATCAGATAATGTTAGAAGTTGGAAGTGGGAAGCGACAGAAAGCTGGACTTTCCCCATGTTTTACATGGCGATTTGCCGTTCACCAGCGAGGTGCCAATGAGCTGGAATCGCTGTTGCTGATGCCCGGCAAAACTGGAAAACTTGGTGGGATGAGACACCTGGACCTGGCATATTGAACTAATACATACTGAGATGATCTGATATATATATATATACATATATATATATATACATATATACATATATATATATATATGTATAGATATTATATATAATATGTATATATATATATGAATTATGACTATATTGTATATCAAAGGATATTGAATGGGATCCGAACACCGTCTTACACCTTCTATTTTTCCCATGGTTCCTTCGGTTGTTCCCAGGATGTTGGAGACGGTGACCTTCCATTACTTGAGCCGGGTACTGGAACCATTTCAACAACCCCTTGCGTGTCACGTACTCAAACAAGGTGCGATTCAGTGTGTGAATGTGTCTGAGTGTGCTACTTTTTCCGCTTTGGATTTATTGGTTTGTGTGTATATATTGTATCTGATATTAATTAGTTGAAGTATTTATTTCATGATATATATATATATATTAGTGGTATAAAGTATGCCATAATCATCCATAGTCTGTAAATGGTTTTAGTTATTCTCAACCAATCAACCACAATGTATATTAGGTAAGACCTTATTATCAACCACTGAACAATAATCTATATATTTATGGTCTTGGTTGGTTGATATTGTTGGAACAATGTCAGGCCGCTGCGAGATTCGTGCCTTCGGCATCGAAGTGAAGGAACTCCTTCCAGGCGGCGACTGGTATGTTGGGATGGATTGCAGATGTCTGAGATGCACATACCATCCATTACATGTATACAATATATACATTACATGTATATTGTATGTATGTTACATGTATATGTAATTTTTTATGTATGTTATACGTATACTATATGTATATTACATGCATGTTATGTACTATATGTATCCTATATGTATCCTATATGTATATATATATATGCAAAGATATGCGTCGCGGCGTCAGGCGCTTTCTTCGGCCTTGGAGTTTTGCTGGGCCTAAGCTATGGAGCTCCGAAGCTCGGCTCATCGCTATGATGGAAGCTCCGTGGCGGTGAATGATGGAAAACACGTGGAAAAATATGGGAAATCTGTGGGGAAATATGGGATTTACGCATCAACAAGTAGGGATTTTACCAATGAATATCATAAAATGATGGATAATTTGATTTACAATGGAAAAACAACTTCCCCTAATGGTGCTTTTATGAAGATATGAGAAGGTATAGATGTTCTTCCTAAAGCCCAAGATACAGACGAACGGTCCCTTCCGGTCCGTCGGAGTGTTGGCCAAAGCTGGCACCTTTCAGCTCCAGGAGACATTGATCTATAGGTTTCAGGTGGATTTTCCAGGGACATCCACTGTTTTGGTGTTGCAAGCCAGTTGATTTATCCAACTCAGCCATGATGCATCAGCCCCATACCTCTCCGCCAGGAAGGGCATTGAGATCCAAGTCCTCTCCTTACGCCTTGATCGATGCTGATTTGGAATGTCCCGACTCCACTATATTCTCGATAAATAGTAGTATAATATGTATATATATATACATATCAACATGTATATGTATATATAACATGATATATACGTCTATAAGATAAATGAATATAATTATATATATAACATATGTATATAATTGTATGTATATATGCAGGTATATAAAACAAAGTAATATATATATATGATATATATGTATATATGTATAATATATATTTATTTAATATACATGTATATATGTATAATATATATATATATTATATCTGTATATACGAATAATATAAAATATATGTATCAAAAAAAGGGATATACGTATAATGTCTATATATATAGTAGTATACTAATATTATTGATATTATGTAAATATTATGTTCAGATTATATTAATATCATATTATTATCACATTGATATTATATTATTATATTAGTATGCTATTATATTAATATTATATTATATTATATTATATTATATTAATATTATACTACATTATCTTCATTTTTATTATATTATAGTATATATATGATATTTCTTTCTATATTCTCCAGCGAATTTAAATTTATGTCTGACAAGAAAATGAATTGCTGGGTCCAGTTGTTTGCTTAACCTTCCTGGGAGTTGTTGGATTAAGTTGTGCTGTCACGACACCAAGGTGAGTTCTATGACGGCGCAGTTTTACTGGATCAAGAGGAGTCGCAGATGCCTTGGGACTCTGGAGTACAGGCTGAGTACAGGTACTCTTTTGAAGGAACTTTGAAAGATAATGTGAGCTCATGAGTGTTGCTTTCAAACATCAAGACCCTGGCCCTGGCAGGAAATCGCTCTTGCCTTTGCCAGATGTTGTGCAGGAATCTCGCCTTTGTGGGGGCTCAGCGGGTCCATTTTTTTTCCGGGCACTTGGTCATCACTCAGATGGGTATGGCTACAAGATGGGATACTAAACTTACTAAACGCTCATTTGACTATCACAATCACAACATGAAGTTTTGATGGTAGATGATTTCGAGCCCATATATCGCAGAAAGGCACATCATAAACACATCCGAGCCAAAGACGCTTCAAGCGAGACTTGCGCAGTTGACAAAGAATAGCCCTTCGATTACACTAACATCGACGCCCACCGCCATCTAAAATAAAAAACTTGCCAAAGACCACCATCAAAATCGAAAAACACATTTTTTTAGTGGACAATTACCATGGCAAAAACACAATCAAATCTTGTGGCGCAGATGGGCGCAGATGGGCGCAGCTGATGATTTTGTGTTTCCTCCAGGACAGCATCTTGAAGAGTGTTCGCGAGTTGGTGGATGCTCAACAGGCGCCCGAAGAATGGTGCATATCGAGTTGGTGTCTCGTCGGGGATGGGTCAAAATTTAAGACTGGGACCACAGATTTTTGTCTAGTTTTAGTATAAATATGAACAATCCTTTTTCAGGGGTACCCAATTCTGACTCATACCCAGATATCCAGGAAATGGTAGGAAGATATCGAAGTGATGAACTGATCTGCTCGTATATATATATATATATATGTACGTATATATATATATATGCATATATATATACATATATATATACATATATATATATACATATATATACATATATATACATACATACATACATACATACATATATATATATACATACATATATATATACATACATATATATATACATATATATACATATATATATATACATATATATATACATATATATATAAGTTAGACTGTTGCTCCCCCGTCTTTCTCATCTAACCGCCCACATTATTATACAAGCAAATTCTATGGGGTTAATACCACAGACAGGAGAGCAACACCTTATAGAAAACAATAACCTAAATCAAAACAACAAACAACAAAACAAAAAACTCAAACAATCTAAACAATACAATAGACCATAAAGAATACTATACCAAAAACCTTGACAACAAACCATACACTTACCCTCATTCAAAAGCCTGTTGTAATGCTAAAACCTATGAGATGGACTTTAAGATAAATTATGAAATAATTTATCTATGAAGCCAGACCTCGGCAATGGTAAAGCCAATACATAAATATAATTGAAAAATCAATGCCATAAACAGGATTTCTCCATCTTACCAGTCCAAGATTTAGGCAAAGGGACTGCCTAAATTTTAGGCAAAGGGACTACCTAAATTTTAGACAAGTGGGTTGCCTAAATTTGAGGCAAAGGGATTGCCTAAAATTTAGGCAAGGAGGGGTGCCCCCCCTATAGATAATAACAACCCCCCGTATTCAGTATCCGAATACACCCTTATTCTGTATTCAAATGCTGAATACCCCGTATTCAGTATCCGAATACACCCTTATTCTGTATTCAAATGCTGAATACGTCCATAGGCTCAATACCCATTGTCCAGCCCCTAGACATCCCAATGTATAGACTTTATACATCTAAATGTATAGACCTTATGCATCCCAATGTATAGGCTGTAGCCATCCAGATTATCCAGCCTAGATTTTGAAAAAAACTAGCCCAGATAATGGAATTATATATCCAGCCCAGATAATGGGAATATCCAGCCCAGATAATGGAATTATCCAGCCCAGATAATGGGAATATCCAGCCTAGGTAGTATTGAGACACACCCCGCACAAATCCATTTTCAGACCTTGAAAACACCCATTTTCAGACCTTGAAAACAACCATTTTCAGACACTGAAAACGGCAAAAAACACTTTCAGACCCTGAAAACGGCATTTTCAGACACTGAAAACGGCAAAAAACAATTTTCAGGCACCGAAAACACCAGTTTTCAGGCAATGAAAACACCCATTTTCAAGCACTGAAAACACCTATTTTCAAGCACTGAAAACACCCGTTTTCAAGCACTGAAAACACCCGTTTTCAAGCACTGAAAACACCAATTTTCAAGCACTGAACACCCCTAACTAAAACACACAACATTTATATATAGCACTGAACATTTCTTGAACCAATGCTTCAGGAATTTCATTTGATGGCAGCCTTTGCCCTTTTTCAATATGTTTGTTTTCTATTACATTGCCACAGTCCCTTTTACACAATGCTCTGGGTTGCCACCCTTCCAAGTTTGTCCAAAGCCTAGTGCGTCTGCTGTATTCAAATCCATATTTACAAAAGTCTAAATCATAATAGGGAAGTTTTTTCATAAACTTTTGTTCTTTCCACAAACTTGATTGAGGATTTTGTATCACAAAAACGTGTGGTTTGAAGTAATTGATTACCTCAAGTATTTTTAACACAATCTTATTGGTTTCATCTATTTTTCTGACATCATTGGTATTTACCCTATTGTATTTAAAAGCTGGGGGTGAAGAAAAGACAAAGTCAAAGTATTTCACTGGATATTTTTTATATTTCCATTGTAGTATGTCGCAATTGATATCAGCCCCTTTCAAATCTAATGACACAACATCCCAGCCCATATCTTTTGCGACAGTTCCCACACTGCCTGTCCCGCTAAACATCTCAAGTAATTTCATATACTCCGGGGTGAAAGTACCAGGCGCAGAATACACTAGTTGCGCCATGTACTTTGGCCCCCCGGGGGCCCAACATACATGGCGCAACTCGCATTAATATAGCGTGCGTACCTGAGCCATCTTTTTCCCACGCAAAACCGCGAATACATATTTAGTATTCGGCGAACATGGCTGAATCTGTGGAGTTTTCGCGACCGGGGTGTGTGCAGTTTGGTTATGCTTGCCACTGCCATAGATGGCGCAACTCCAGAAGCACACGGGGAACCTCCCCATATTGCAGCCAGATAGATGGCGCAACTCACATGTCACTGGTGTATTCATGTGAGCGTTCTCTCCCACAAAAATCATGCGCATGTTCCACCAGATCGAATGCACAGTAGATGGCGCAACTGGGCCACAAGAACCGCCTGTGTGATGCTTGGAGCTGCGCCAGCTTTGGCAATAAGGATAAGCATAACCAAATTGCAGGTACCCGGTTGCGAAAATTCCACAGATCATGCAACACAGACGAATACATATTTAGTTTTCGGTCAAAGATGTTACATCTGTGGAATTCAATACTTTCAAGTGCACAAAGCGTACTACTGCTGCATATGGTACTGTACAGTATATGGATCCGTGAATGGATGACAGAACCAACAGACTGCCGGGGAAAAGGAAGGAAAACATGGCGCGGAGTCTACTCCACAAATTTCATCCAATTTCAGCCACATCATTTGCACATTTATGTGGAATCCGGCATAAGTAGATGGCGCAACACCAGCGGGTTGCGCCATCTACTTTCACTGGGGCAGATTCGGTTATTTTCTCAGATTTCGTCCGTTCCAAATACCGGTGTCCGCGCCATCTATTAAGTGGCCCT